AACAGCCATGTGGGTTATTGTTATATGTGAAATGTCGGCACTGCAATGCCATTTCCTTAGGATCAGCAGTAGGTTTGTAAACTTGTCGGTGGGTTTATTTTGCAAGTAGGGTCAACGTTCAATGGTACTTCCTTGGCATTATGCACTTGGTTCCAGGATTTAGAAAACAAACATATTTCATGCCGAGCACTTCTAAAGGATGTTTAAACACAGAACAGCACTATCTGCTTTTGCTTTATCTTAGCACTCTGTTGCAGAGAGGAAATGCCATCCATGCCCCGCGTCTTTCGTTTCAAGCGAAATCTTTCCACTGCAGGTTATATCTCCATAATGCTTTTAACAAATTCAGGTGAAATTTTTTAAGCCCCTGCCTTCCACTATCCCAGTATCTCTCTGTCTTCACATGCCATAAACTCAAAAACTAAATTGTGTACATCTGAAGAGCGTAGTTACAAATTTAATTTTTAAAAGGCTTCATAATGAAAAAAGGTGTTTTGACACAGTGATGTGAAACAAAATATAACACTTCTCTGTATATACACCAGAAAAACTTACAGAAACAAATGTTACTACTTCCTAGAAACTCTTCTTAGAAACTAAATTAATCAGTGCATTCAGTGCATCTTTGTTAAAGTATGTATCTGTAAGACTAATAAAGCTCTTAAGAAATAATTCTTACAGAAAACAACACTGGCTTCCCTCATGTATACTCTCTTGATTGCTATTCATGTTTCAAAATTATCTAACGAGCAAACAGCATCAGCTACATTTAAGCAGAGTCAGATAAACAATGAGTAGAGATTTGACTTGGCTTGGTATCATCTTTAAAGGTCATCTGAATGCAGAAAACAACTACTCTCAGCCGCCATTAATGAAAAACACCCGTTAGCTGCAGCTAGTCCAAGTTCCACCATCTCTCCAGTTTCTCAGTTTCTAAATTCACAAACCAGGATTCAGAGTCCAGACTCGGCTGCCAGCCTTTGAACTGTGGGTGCAGGGGCTCCCCTCCATGTTTTTCACTGAACCCCTTTCTTGTCTCAGTGCCCATCTGCAGCTTCCTAGAGACAGACACATTTTCTGTGACGTCTAAATGGCCATGCTATCCCGGGAACACGTCTCCTAAACGCTACGCTGCAATCTTGACTAGACCAGGTTGCCTCCTTCCGCACACCCGTTTGCAAACTGAGCCTCCTTCTCAAGAAGCCGCCATGTTCTCAACCTGTTGCAGTAAAGACCCCAAAGAGCCTCATGACGCCTGTAATACTACCGCGTTTTATCTGGCCCGAGTTTTAGTGGGCACAGCCCAAATTTTTAGCTGCATGGATTGCGATGGTACAGTCATGGGTTTGTATGCCCAAGGGTGCTAGTTATGGGCAAGGGACAGAATGAAATGAGGGGAAGGAAACGACAACCGTACTGTTAACGCGGGCAGCCATCGACCTTCGAAGGGCTGATTAGCCGACACGTCCTGGCCGAAATAAAGTCAGTCGCACAAGTCAGTTACTCTTGGCCCTGCTTTCCGAGGAGGAGGACATCGGATTCCCAGGCAGTCCCCTTTGTGGGTACTACTCTGAACCGAAGTCCTCTAGGACGGTGGTTCCCAACCTGGCCAGCACAGCCAGTGGTGAAGACTTCTCGGAGTTCTAGTCCAAAAACATCTGGGGACCCAAGATGGGAACCACGGACCATTCTCTGGGATTCTTTTACCACTGGGAACTTGGAAACTACCATCATGTAACTGCTGTGAAGAAGGAGGAAACTGAGGTTCTTTCCGAAATGACCGTATGTTTTTAGAGCATCCGACGCAGAGGGAGGGGGAGGGAGAAGATTGGGGAGGGGCTACTGCCTTTTGTGGGCCACAAATCACCGTTACACAAGTGATTACTTGCTAATGGTCACAGATGAACTATTGGTGTTGGTTATGTGGTGGAGAATGGCTAGGGATATTTGCAGTCAACTGCCAAGGAAAAGAGATGTCGTTTCAGAAGAGGCAAAGAGAGACAAACAGGAGGATTGAAATTTGTCACCAGGGCAGCATAGATTTCATATATTTCTGTGTATACACACAGCAAGTTGCTATTGATACAAATATCTGAAAATTATTGACAAACACATATGCTGGAGCAACAGTCCAGCCCTAGTGCCTTTTTTCACAATGACACTCTTACTTAGTGTTAACAGCTGCTGCAATGAGCATTCCACCCACAGTAATATTTTCCAAAGTAGAATACAACGTTTCTGGTGCAACTGGAAAAATGAGGAAACTATTCCCCAGGAGATGTGGATTTTTAAATCCAAAGAACAATGGTGTCGCATTATAGCTGTAGTAATTTGTCAGAGTAGCAATTTATGGTCTCAAAAGATACTCGTCCACAGACGTCCCTTTGCTATGTTTAGATTTTTCTCATGATATTGAAATGAAGGCCATGTGTGCCGGCACTGTTTTAGTCTTACTCATAAATTAAAACCGTCTTGAAGAAAACCAATCTGAAATCAAGTTGACCCTTCCTGCATGGTTTCCAAAGCCTTAACGCAACACCCACCCATCTGAAACAGCATTTAAAATTAAACTTGCATTTTTTTCAACATTTATCTGAATGGTAATTTACCAGTAATCTACGGGCAGTATTCAAAGTGAGCTACTTTGAAAGAGAAGAACTTGCAAATAAGTTGTTTTTCCCCAAAGTATATGTATTTGAAAAGAAGAACATCTATCTCAATGCCATGCCATTCGCTCCTTTTCTTGATGACCTACATAAATGTTGGCCCAACTGTTTGGGTGCCCACCAGCTTCTGCTACTTTTCCTCCTCATTGAATACCTCCTCATGCATTTCTAATGCATCGTAGGCATAATTAAGACAATAAAGAATATAATTCATGAGCTCTTGAGTAGATTCGGTTGGCAGGTCTCCGGCTTTGGTCTCGATACTCAGGTGTGGGATTTTATTCTGAAGGTCTTAGATGTTGTGCCTGAAACCTCAGGCTGAACTGGTTGGGGTAGGGTGGGAGTTCATCCTGACATACTGCAGATCACGCAGATATCTGTTTCTATGCCTACATTTAATTTTATCTCATGTTCCTTGCAAAAAACAGTGTTCCTTGTTCCAGTCTGCAAATCTCTCCTAACAGAGTCTGGCTACAAAACCTGGGTAGCACTGTTTTCTTGGCCATTAAATTCATCCTTGTGCTTTCAGGCTCTCTATCTGACACCCACATGCACCCCACGGTGCAATGGTTGCCCCTTTGACATCACAAAGACACCACCCCACCCCTGTTGCATAACAAAGGCATACCCTAGGTCAAAGATTTGGCCCTGAAATCATGGGGAATGTAATGCTACTGACCTGGCAACCCTATTGGCAGAAGTGTGGTGTTTGGCAAGGTGTACCAGCCTATAAACAGCATATTGGGGTGTCTATGGGACAGCAAATCTATAAATAAGAAGCAAAGCCTAGCATTTCAACAGGAAGGCACATCTGCCATCTACTGCACGCCCTCTTTCTCTAGGGGAGTGCACAGAAGAAAAGGAAATATCCCCAATCAGCTCTCGTCCCAACAAGGCCAGCACAACACCTCGCCCTGCCGGAGACAAGAAGACCATTTGATGGGCATCTTTCTGGGTGCCGGGGCTAAGACTCTGCATTGTAATCCCCTTGCCGTACCGGAGGGACAGGATCCTTTTTCTATTCGCAGGTCAGATTTGGAAAATAGGGCTGACACAAGCCTCTTATCTCACTCAACCGAGTGGCAAAGCTAATCCTTCTGGAAACTGCCAGCACTCAACACACACTCAGAAGGCACCCAGCCATGTCCACTTTCAGAAGCTAAGGAGTGCTGGGTCTGTTTAGCCATTGGATAGGAAGCCAGCAAGGAATACCTCCAGGTAGGGCTAGGGAAGAATCCTACCTGAAACCATGGAAAGCCACTGGTGCCAGTCAGAGCTGGCAATGCTGGCTTAGACAGATCCAGTGACTAGCTTGAAATAAGTTCACGCTCCACGAGATGATTTCTACAGTCAGGTTTCATTACTGAGTCAAGAACTATTTTGCAATGACTCAGGAAATAAAAATTAAAACTTCTCAGTTACGCAGCTGAACTACATTTGACTGAAAAGGTACTGACAGTAAATTTTAGTTGCTTCTCTTTATGTGACGCAGACATGATTTCAAGGCCTATCAGCTTTCCATGGCTCTGACGGTCAGACAGATACTTCATCTTCTTATAGTTGCCATGATCTGTTTTTCATCACAGACAAGTTCTAAGGTTTGGGCTCTTGTGCAGACATGGCACTTACAAATGTTTTCAATGTGTCAACCCAAATATATTACTTCAATTCTAACTTCTATGTAAAAAAAAAAATTAAAAAATAAAAATAGTAATAGGATGACTTTGAAATGCAGAGATGTGGGTGAAGTCAAGCGTAAAGTGTAGTACTATTGACAAGTTTTGATGAACATCTATAATAGTCTCTATGGGAATGGAACAGGCCCAGTTATTAGGGTGCTTTCTTCTTTCTTTCCAATGAAGGCAATTTCTGTACACATGGAATACAATCCATGAATAAGTTATTCTGTACTCTTAAATTTATGTAGACTTCCCTGATGGGCTGTTCATAGCCTTTGCTCTTCCTTACCTAGCCAAGACTGGCTTCAAAAGTAGCTTACAACTAAAGTACCTCTAAAAGTAACAATAATTAGCATGGAGATGTGTGTGCCTAAGTAGCAATCTTCTTGCCTCCACCGATGAAGAACAAATGGGAATCCCAACTCTAAAATCTTGTCTCTGTCTTAGACCATATGTTTCCTAAGATTAAGAAATTAGTTAAGATAGTTGGTGTCATATAATAGTTCTGTTACAAGAAACTGAAAAATAACCATCACTTGATTATCTTCCTTAAAAAAATAGTAATCAGTTGAATTGTTTCTTTGATCAAAGAGCCTTGTGATGCCCTGACGAAAACAGATGGACAGGTTACAGTTCTCGCTTTTCTTCTCTGCAGGTATTCTTGAAATAAGGACAGTGGCGGTTGGAATCGTGGCAATCAAAGGAGTGGCAAGTGAATACTTTTTAGCCATGAATAAGTCTGGGAAGCTGTATGGAAAGGTAGTGGCATAATTATTAGCAGCACCTTCTATTTAATGGGGGAGGGTGGAATAAATGTTCTTTGCATTTTTTCGAAAATCAACGACCTTTCATACGATGGCCCCAATCTGGGGGAGAAGGTGGGAACCGCCACACGCCCCTGTTTTCCTGAGGGGATGGGATTTGGAATGGCTCCGCTTTTCCTTGGAACGCAAACTCACTTGGGGTCAGCTGAGATTCACAGCTTTGCTCCAGCCTCCCAAAAGCCATATACTGTAAAAGGTTTGGAGCAGGAGCATCTTGGCAAGCTGGGGAACAGCTTGGCTAAAGGCCTCTGTTTGCTCTTTCCCTCGTCTCCTCCGATCCGTTTGCCAATTTACCTTTGGCTTTTCCCCTCATCCAGCCATGGCCACGCGGGGTAGCCTGTGAAGATGAAGCATTAGGGCTCTGCAAGCACCATGCAGTTTTCTTCCCCAGCAGGCCCCAAACAACAGGATTCCTTACACACATACAGAAATGGAGACTGGCTCATAGAAGGCCCTTTTCGGAATGGGGCGTGTTGCAATCTATTTAATGCATGGCTTTAAAAGGGTTGTTTACAGTTTTCTGGACTGGAGCCAGAATTCCACCCAAATTGTTTAAACATTTTTTTTTCTGTAATGAAAGTCATTCCCTTTTAAAAGACGCAAGAGATTTGCAAAGAGCGCAGCAAGCACATGCATTTTTTTAAAGAAGCATGCTTTGTGTTCCGTGGCCACATGGGTCCTTTTTTTCTTATCTGAGATATGCCCCTCCCAGGTATTATGTCAGTGTTGGTCTTAATGTCTCTCTCTCTCTCTCTCTCTGCTCTCTCCTCCCCACCCCACTTTTGTTCTTAAACAGAAAGTGTGCAATGAAGACTGCAACTTCGTAGAACTGATCCAAGAAAACCATTACAACACGTATGCTTCAGCAAACTGGACCCACAAAGGAAAGGAGATGTATATTGCATTGAAACAGAATGGTGCCCCTAAAAGAGGCCAAAAGACAAGTAAAGAAGACATATCTTCCCACTTCCTTCCACTCGCTTTATCCTGATCACATGCTATGGATGGAGAACCCGTTCCAGCAAACCATTCTAATCTGAAAAAGGCACTGTTGGAAAGTACGAGGAAGAAAAGCTGGAATACTACTGAAAACTGAACAAGCTGGACTTGCGCATTTATGTTTATTTTTAAGAGACTTTTTAAAAAAATGAAGATATACGCTACATAAGATTTAGTAACTAAAAGTTGTAAAAAATTGTAAAGAGTTGTACAATCCTTATGTTAGTCTTAAGAGTAGCTTTGCAGATCCTTAAGTTAAAACTACCCTCGGACGTTAAGTCATGACTTGATTATCTGATGATATTTTATTTAAAACAAACTTATCTGCTTCATGAAACATGGCTGCTATAATAATGATAAAGCAGATGAAAATGTTATGTAAAATATGTTGGACTTGATGGCTGCTGGAATGAGTCTTCAGATGACCAAGTTAGTACTAATCGTGGTGGCTAAGCAGTATTAGATACTTCCCAGGAAAAAAAAATGCACAAGTATTAAAAGAACCTTAAATTGGATTACTGTGGTATTCAGATGATAAAGCTCGTATGGAAGGTGAATGAAGGTGGCACCACTGCAGTGTATTCCTATGTATTAGTAAGAATGCCTAATGCTGCTTGGAAAGATGTTACCCAAAAAAAGTGTATATAAAATAATATTAATAAGGGAAATATACTTCATCTCACTTTCCTCAAAATATCCTTAGATATAACGACGAAGTAAAAATTCAGACAACATCATATGGTTTTTATGTAACATAACCTATCTTTTTATATAATTCCCGTTAGGGCATATGGCTTCTGATATCTCCCCACCCCCCACCATTATTCATGCTTTCTTCTGTTGTTACAGCATTAAACTTTATTTTAAGTTATAGTTGAACGTTATTGTTTTAACTTATTTAAATTGATGTTATTTATAAAAAAAAAGAACCTTATTAAGTTGCATCTGTTTCATATGATTTTGATTCTAAAGGAATAAGAAAATCGTCTGGCTCAGCAGCCCTTTTTCCCCCAGTTCCATGACCAGACACAAAGTCTAGTACACAATTCTCTTGCCAACGTGTACTGGATGACAGACAAAAATGACAGCCTGCAGCAATTCGTACAATGGGAACTTCAGATGGAATAACCCAAAAAATGCACACACACACACACACAAAAGCTATATTCTTTCTCCAGTTAAATCTGATAGTCTTCCCACAGCTGTAGCAGTTTCTGTGGTTTCTCATAAATCTTCGGCTAGGTCCTCAGATGAAGAACTGGCATAGAATGTCTAGCCAACATCTGTGAAATCGTATCAACACCTTTCTGCTCCTAATGTGCGCTAGTGTCAAACCGAACATCTGTACTGAGGGGTCACCAACACACCGCCCTTTGCACATGGTTGGACTACCGATATAGCCAACTGGGAGAGCAAACGGCAGATTTAGAAATGGGTGGTTCTATGGCAGGCTTAAGCCCTCCCTCTGAAAACGTCACGGGCCTGCTGTCCCTACTGTTTGTTATTTAGAAGAAGGAAAAACAGGCACAGTACATGAAACCAGCTGTAATGTTCAGTCGTGGCAGGCCAGCAATGCCGACAGGGCAGCCTTTGGTCTGGCAGAATGTGGGTTTTGCAAGGGAAAGGTCAAGCTGGACCTTCTAACTGATCTAAATGCAGATGCATCATTAACTGTCTTCTTATCCATTGCACAGACAAGTCCTGTTCTTTACATGTCCAGGTGGCAAACACAGGCTTTCCACATCAAAGCATACAACAACATTTTTTGTGGGGGGAGGGAATCAGAAAGTGCAAATAATTATTTCAATCCTAGTTCCTCATAACCCAAGAACTCTGAAAAATCTCAGTTCTTGTCTGCGTGCAGAGCCTACACGTAAGCATAAATTGCATCTCTTCAGATTTATTAATTCCAGCAGATTTCCGTGACTGAGAAATCAGCTTCCAAAGAAATCCTATGCTTAAGACCAATCACAAAACAAAACAACCAAACTTTAAAATAAATGAAGTGAGCGAGGAGAGCTCCTGCTGTGTGTTCAAGCAAGCTGGTTTGAGCAACTAGGAAATTTCCTTTTCTAGTGACGGATGATTTCTGAGAAGCATTTCAGCACCTTTAGAGAACAGCCCGGACAAGTCACTGGAAGAACGGAACATCCCTCTGCATCTTTCTGATGTCTGCATTTTACTGCACCCATGGCATCACAAAGGAAATGTTCTCCCCATATCTAAGAGACAATAACGTGGGGCTGGCTTCAAGCAGTATATGGAAGCCTAAGTCAACATCTTGAATTATACAACACAAAGAGAATCAGTGTGTGTGTGTGTGTGTGCGCAGACACACACACACATAATCTGCTACGTAATAGATGGACCAATGTACCATACACCACTTGAAGTTTCCAGAGGTCCTTAAGGCCAGCCCCATGCTGAATACACCACAATCCATGGCAGCTGATCTTGCCTACGCCATGCGAACTGCCATTCCTTGCTAGTCCCCCAGACACCCTGGCTGGAAAAATCACAAGCCCTGGCATTTCATTACAGATTATGTCTAACTGCCTGTATTGCTCTGCTTTACAAGCATTCAGAAAAATACTAATCAATTAAAGATTTCATATTTTTACTTACAAGTGATTGTTTAGACCTACATGACAGTCTTCTTAAAAATGTATTTAACCACTATTGTTATTGCCAGCATTAAGTGTACACCACTCAAACAACCATTCAATAATGTTTTTATGCCGCTTGGCCAGCACTTACAAGACTTTGCTCTCGACAGTGTTCTAGGCAGAAGTTTCATATGAGATGACGACGTGTGAAAGGAATCTTTCTGTACGGTCGTTTCCAAGCACCATAACTTCCATTCCTTCCAAGCATATTTGCGAGGTTTGAAACCTACAACACATTTACAGTTAATGAGTTGATATTTAGTTTTTAGAAAGCTGAACACTGACAGAGTGATTATTACACATCTATATCACCAGCCTATAAGGCTCTGTATTTTAATCAGACGAACCTAGTTACTACAGAAGCACCACACTGCATTCCTCCTTCAGTAATAAATGAAGCCAAAAACGTCAGGCAAGTTTTTGGAAACCAAACTGCCATGAATTATAGATGGAAAGTATTGTAATGTATATGCAATTGAGAAGTTGGTTATTCTGTGTTGTGCTTTATCCTGTCACATTGTAGGTGCACAGGTGGGGAATGAAGAGATGAAGCAGAACTGCCTGGCTCAAAAAATACATTCTCCTAGGCCTATATCCAAAGGTGGAAGGATACTGGCTATCATACAGGAAAAAGAAGGGGGAGGGAGAGGAGGGAGAGTAGGAGGAGGAGAGAGAAGAATAGAACAGGAATGAAACAAGCAAAATTTAAAACTGTTGTAAAAAATGAGGATGAGAGCAGATGAAACACAAAGAGACAAGATCATCCTCTCTAAAGAAAACATGAATGGTTGCAGAATGAATGAGAAATGTATATTAGAAGGGATGCAATGAGAACAAACCTATCCATTGTGAAGGAAATCAATCCTGAGTGCTCACTGGAAGGACAGATCCTGAAGCTGAGGCTCCTATACTTTGGCCACCTCACAAGAAGACTCCCTGGAAAAGACCCTGATGTTGGGAAAGAGTGAAGGCAAGAGGAGAAGGGGACGACAGAAGATGAGATGGTTGGACAGTGTCATTGAAGCAACCAACATGAATTTGACCCAACTCCGGGAGGCAGTGGAAGAGAGGAGGGCTTGGCGTGCTCTGGTCCCTGGAGACACGAAGCGTTGGACACGACTTAACGACTAAACAACAACAACAACATCCCAAATGTAGCAGCTTTAAGTTCTTATTTGGGAGATGGTGGAGGTGGGGAGAGAATTAAGCAACTAGTCAGCCTTCCTACTGAGACTTTAAACTGTTTTAAGATGTTTTTGGGGGGTCATGCCCAAGCTGTCATATAGGAATAATAAAAAACATATTTTGTCATTTGTTTTTTGCCATATTCTGTTTTACTCCAGATCTGTGATTGGTTTTAATGACAAGCATTCTTTCCAAGCCGATGTTACAGTACCGCTCACTGTAGCACAAGCCAGCTTTGTGTTAATGATTCAATAATAAGGATACTTTTATCAAAATATTATTCCTAAGTCAAATTCCTGTGGTCGCTGATGTGCACGGAGTAACAAAGTTTTTGTTCTAAGTCAGTGCCTTCCCAAGAATGTCTATCAAAATTAAGTCTGACTCAGCTCATTGGTGGTTATAATCCTAAGTAGATGTTCTTAATGGTTTGTACTGTGTTAAGTTACACCACTCTGAATTTAACATGTCGGTTTTTCAGAAGATGAAAAAGGCAATGAGAACCAAGCACCTGAGACTTGATCGTAACATTAAGTAGGAGCAAATAATGTTTATTAATGAGGCTTAAAGGGACCAGTGTTCCAAATTAAAGTCTTCCAGCCTCCTGTCTTAAAACTGCTTCATTCCACCCCTAGTGATTAATGCTGACATCTCATGTCAAAGTTTCATTTCAATAAACTTCAATAAAAACACCCCCAAGCTGCACTTAATCTCCTGCCACGTTTCCACTGATACTCATGGGAGTTTCATCTCTCCTGCTTACACCACAAGAAGGCTGCTGAGTAAGTCCCATAATTCAGGGTTCCTTTGGTCTAGACGTGGCAGGATTGCTCTGTAAATGTGCCACGTTTCTGGGATATCACAATGCTCAGTATTATTTTTAACCTGACCATTTCTGTGTTTGTATTCTTTATTATTTTGCTCCATACAGAGATAATGTCGGTTGAATCAAATTACATAGAAATGATGTTTCTTTTTTAAAAATTGCAATGCCATCAATTTCAAGGGAAAAAAAATCAACATATCCGTACCTCGTATCCATTGGAAGACTAAATCCATTAACTCGTCCTTAAACTGATCCCCAAAATGACGCTGGGATTCAGGAAAAGCTTCACAAAAAGTAAGATAGATGGCTTGCGACAAGCAGTCGGGATACATCTGCAGTTATTATGAGATAACTAGAATAAGCAACCAGACACCCTGAAGCCCAAATTACAGCAGGGGTAGGCAAATTTCAGACAAGGAGTTGATTTCAGGAGCAAAACCTGAGAGCAGCAGCAGGCCCACGTGATGTCACAGGGGGGGGGCCTTCTGATGCCACGTGGGTGGTCTTTTGCATGACAAAATGTTGTGCGCAAGAGGATGCTGCGGCAATCCCGTGAGCTGCAGCAACAGCACAGGCGGTATAAACAACCCCGGGGCCTGTACCCAGCAGGCCCTGTGACCTCGGATTTGGGGTAAGTGCAACACACCTAGCAAAGTCTTCCATGGAGCCACAGAGTCCTGGCACCAGCTAGGAGCAGAGGGAGCTAGGTGGCCAGGATTCAAGGCCATCTCTCACATGAGAACCAGACTCTCACTTCCTCCAGGGTGGCCTGCCCTGAATTCATACATCTCTCTGCCTAGGAAGCACAGAATTCCTGGAGCACCAGCAACCTGACAACCTCATCTCTAGATGTGGCTGAACTACAGCTTCTGATTCTGTTCTTCACCTTTGGCTATGGTGGCCGGGACTGGGGGGAGTGGCAGTACCATAATATCGGGGGGGGGGAACTACGAGATGGCCAACCCAAACTGCAGCACAGGACATGACAGTCAGCCGCCAATGAGGCAGAATAATAATAATTTAATAATTTATAATTTATTGTCATTGTAAGTATATACACATACAACGAAATTCACAAGAAGAGGTGCTAGGAAGATTTTCCCCTCACTAAGAGGACTAAGATCATGGGATGACTCTTAAATTTAATGAATATACACCCAAGTGCATAAATGCATTCTCTTTTTCTCTGCTACACATTCATCTCAAAGAAGTGGGCTTGCAGTATGCTCGTATTTCCTCTTAAAATATAATTTGGGCTTTGCGTAGTAACTCAGAGCACAGCCGCCGGCACCAATACCAACAGATGGTTGAAAAGAGCATGAGGACAAAACATAGGAAGGAAAACTGACGGATTGGGTCCATTCCAGAAGAATAAAGCAACATGGTTGTCGGCAAACCGGTTGCCCATTTTCTCCTGTCTGAGAACTAAACAGGAAAGGACTGGATGAGGCGGAGCGGTATTCATAAATGTACATGACATATATTGATGGCATTACCTGAAGGAAGGGATCTTTGATGTAATTGGGAGTGCTCAGCAGAAGCGCCACAAAGCTGTCCGAGATTCTGTCAAAAAAATGGTCCTGCTCTTCTTGATCAGGCTTGAAAGAAAACCCAGAGATGGTCTTATCAGCATTACCATTTCACACTCATACTTGGCAGAGCATTTACGCATGGGAGCAGTTCAGGTACCAAAAATAATATACGAAATAAGAGCTCCCCCCCCCCGGCATGATGAGGAAGGTTTCTGGGCAGGGGACACCTTAGAAAGCTTATAGGAAATTTCACACCAGCCCCAAGGATAATGCTCTTTAGTGAGCTGGCTACTGATGCTCAAGCACCTCTTTCCACCCCCACCCACTCCCCCAGGTATGCTATTTGTATTCGTTTCTGGTCATCGCTACCATAGGGACAGAAGCGGGATTTGTAAAACCCATCAATATTCTGGTCAGTTTGCCTTACAGAGAGCTCACACACACACACAAGGCTTAGGAGCAAAATCCCACCAAATGTGACGGACATTCCTTGGAGATGTGTGGGATTGTACTGTGCAACAAACAACTTCAGGGTGTATTAGTTAACACTACATGAACTACCTCAGGCTTCCTGCATAAAATTCCAGGCATACTGACATACTTCAGGTGCCAAACAGAAGCTGCTTAATTTGGGTCACTTAGCACATGAATCTGCCACCTTTTTCTAGCTAGAATAACCATTTCTCTCCCCTGTTCTTGTTCTCCTAGCTTGGTTTTGCTTTTACTCCCCATCTGCTGTTACTGTTATTTTTTAAAGCACAAATATCCATCCTTGTTTTTGAACTACGAGGTAGACAATCCTCTAGTCTAGCCAGCACAAGATACCGGCTGAGAGCTTACTATGGAATCCTGGGAGAAGCAGCCCCACTCTTCTTGTATGTCTTCGTACCTTGAATTTGTGAAGAAACCACCACCAAAAACAATCCTGCAAAATTGCAAGTGATGCTTCAGAAATGAATAGCTTCTTCAAAATCTTCACATTTGTTCCCTGTCCAAAAAGAGAGAGAGAAAAGAGCGAGGGAAGAATGTCAAAAGCAAAGGTTATTTAGTGTTTCGTCTCTCAAACACTTTTATTTCAACCGAGTCCTACCCATTGCAAAGCAACATACATATTCTAATATATTCAAATGTATTATCTTTCCTCCCACAATTGCCTTGGGCGATAGAAATGCAGACTTAACACAGAACTAAAAACAAGAACAAGGACAAGAAAAGCATAAAAGAATGTATTCATAATAATGTAATACAAAGCGTTTTGCCGCTTTCGGTATCTCATGCTGTGTCTCCAGTGGTCAAAAAACAGACCAAGGTGCTAGTGTGCAGACCTTCTTTTTAATTCGAATTCTTGGGATGCCAGCTGATTGTGCTGCATGGCCAGTGGTTTTTAAGAACCTGCAGATTTGAGAAGCTGCTATTGATGGCGGGCAGCTTGGAGAAAATTGAGAATCAGTGCAGCTAGAAAATCAGCACCAATCCAGTTTGTCCTTCAAAATTAAGGAGCGCAGTTAAGTTGCTTGAGGAAGTCTGGAAGATGTAGTCCAAAGACACAAGTCTGAACACCACTGCTTCAGATATAAATCACAGCCAGAATCAGCTTGGTGCCTGCATGAGGTTAGTATAACTTGCCATGGCTAATTGCAGCTAATGGAGAACGTGTTGGGTCATATCATGGTTGTGTAATGAGGCATGTGAACGGGCACATGACTGAGTCATGCCCCAGTGTGGCAATTAGCTACACTTAGCTACAGCAAGCTACAATTAGATACAATTAACTATAGCCATTCAAATGATGCAAACACCACTAGGATTCCAGCCTCTGTTCAAAGCAAAACTATTATTAATTTGTTGCAAGATTTTATATCAAATAGCTTTGCTCCCTAAATGGAAATTAAAAGTTTATACCCTGATATCTTGCATTTTTATAACAGAATCCCAGAGTTGTGCAGGTTCCAGATGGTTTGGGAGCTTTGTAAGCTTCCGTAGCTTGAAACCCGGGAACCTGAAATTCTAAAAAGAAAAATAAAGTTTGCATAATTAAGGATTCTTCTACTTGCTCAATACAGAAAGCTATACTTTTACAGGGGAATAACCAGGTAGTATTTTGTTTTCTCTTGCCTTTTTAAAGTAGCAGTTTGTGGATATGAAAATTGCTCCAACTAGGCTTCACTCTCCCCCCCCTTTTTTTCTTAGAATAAGTATTATTCTTGTACAGTACTTCTTTTTCAGGTGGGGTGTGATGATGGCTGTCAGCACAACTCCAGGCACGGAAACCTCCATTGGGACTTCCTATAACAAAGCTAAAAGATCTTTATCCTGCATTACCTTTGAATGGATTTCCTGGTATATTTTCAATTTTAATTAAATTGTTTAATCTAATTAACCAGACTGCAGTCTTGTTTCTAGAGAAACGCCTCCTGAGGCATAAATTCTGCACTAACCCACTCCACTCAATGTAAAAACCAAATATTCTTAGACGCACTCAACAGCCAATTGCTTTATGCCTCCCCAAAGGTTATTTTTTTGCTGTAAAGAAAGCACCTTTAAGGGAAAAAACAGGTGGAGGATTTGTCACAACCACACAGAGCGGAAGTAAAAAGGGTCAGCTGCCTTCCCCATATTCTCAACCAACCACTTATACTGTTAGTTTGATATTGTTTTATTGTCAGTGATATTATTATGGTTACTGGTCTCTGACATCCCATTTTTGTAAATGATCCAAATTAAATGAACAAAAAAAGATAAAATAAGACAATATATATGTATTCCCCTGGCCTTCCCCCCCCATGTAGACCAGGGTATCTGTCCTACAGTAAGGCTGGGTCCACATTCCATTACATATTAACTGCTTAATATTCTTGCCTTTGAATGGGGATTTGTACAATTATCCAGCAAATACGAAAATATGATAAGGTTATCCTTTTTTCTGTCTATCTGAATAAGCCAAAGCCTCTAGCCGAGTCACAACCCGTTCCAGAACAACTTTTCTATTGCCTAGTTATACAGTCAAGTTCAGATTTAGACGACTTCTCTCCAAACTGCTTTCTAGGGCTTGGCATTACTGTCTCTGCTTTGGACTTGATCTTTCACCCTCTCTTATGTAATATTTTGTAATATTGACTTCTGTAACAGATTTGGCACAATTACCTCAACTGTTTTACAACTTGAATCTTGTGTAGCATCAGCAGTGACCTGAAATACATTTTAAAGAAAAGCATTATAAAGTTGTGCTAAACCCAGTGAATGATATATAGACAAAATCCACTATCTTCTTCACTGATTGTGTCTAGAACAGAAACATTAACCCTGAAAACCTAGAATGAAAAGACACAGGGAAAGTCTTAAGTCCCTGTTATAAGCCAGATCCATCAGCTCTTTCTATATAAAATATGCTATAAAATTATGTGTACACTCTGGATAAACTTGAAGGTCTTAGTGAACCAAAGTACCTTGACTTTCTTCTTCTTCCTTACTTCCTGTGTTTCAGAAGCTGAAGTACCACCGGCTTGAAAAGAACAACAAAGCATGCAAAGAATTTTTAAAAATATCCATTGTTTGCAATTTCATAAAATAAAATAGTATTTTGGCCCGAACATTTACCTGCATTTTCAAATGCAGCCGGTACAAAAATCTCAGATCACTGAGGTGATAGTGAAGTGGGCTGTGAAGGCCACAACCTCGGCTTAAATTCGAAGCTCATTTTTAAAATAACCGCTCTGGTTATGTAATTGTGTTTATGATTTTCCATAGCCACAAAGCCAAAGATCCATTGAGCAATCCTGCACGCACTTTTTCAAAAGTCTCCCTGAATTCAATGGAATGTACTCTCTGACATGCATCGTTAAGGTTGCGGTGTCTGTGTCTCAAAAAATTACTTCCAAGGAAAGCAGGAGCACTTTGAAGAGGGATGCTAATGTCTGGACTGAAACCCCTTGATGCTTATTTTTATAATATTTAGAATACTTCTGCATACCGTATTACAGAGGACTGCTTTTCCAAAGTATGACTTTTAGGTGATACGATAGCCTAGTTTTTTGAAATCCCCTTTGGCCATTTAGGGGAAAAAATCCCTGTTGGTGTGAGCCAGGCCACATTTTTGTGCCTTATTTTCTGATCACTGTCGACTCTGTCACGTAGGACGCATCTGTTTTGGGTCAACAGAAGTGCCAAATGTCTCCTGTCTGTCGTCCCCGCCCCCCAACAGGGACATGCTCACTTAAAACCTCATGCATTGGAGCCAGGATAGCTAAATAGGTGCCACATTGTTGATGACTGCCTGTGGAATATATTTGGTCAAAATATTTCACACAGGACAGGTACTTCACACTGACATGTTTGAAAACAAACCATATTTATATTTCAGTGGGTTGGAGCATATGGCTATGGAGCCAGGAGCCAAGGTCTTGCTATGTCTTCTGGGACAGGGGGACCATCCAAGATCACCAAGAGTATGTATGGCTGAGGGAGTTACATGACTTGTGTTGGCCAAGTGGGCCATGCTTCCAGACCACAACCCTGAGAGGATTGTGGTACAGTAATCAGAATCAATTTGAAGAGATGGTGGAATTATTATTTATTATTATTATTATTGGTCACAAACCCTCAGGTTGATGGAAGACATGAGAAATATATAATTACCATTATTCCCTCTCAATATGAATAACAACCATTCCATCCAGCAACTGATCATTTAAAATTGAGGATATATTTCAAAGCCTGTAAGTTCTAAAATGACTTGATTTTCCAAAGATTTGTCTTATTACTAATAACAGAAGAGACAAAATTACCTTGGTCTGGAACAGAAACCCTCTGATCCTCTTCTACTGATTTTTGGGAGTCTAAAGAGAAGACCTGTTTGGCATGCTCGTGGACCCCTATTCTGCATTCATCCATTCTCTTTTCTAAGTTAGAGATCGTTTCCATGGGCAGCGGAGCTTTGTCATAAAGATATTTAACAACAGTGTCCACGGGGTAGTCCTTTCTGAATTGGGTCACCAAAGGACGGACGTCCATTTCCGGCATGTAGGGGAATCTTGGCCAGTCATCCTGCAATAACAACAGACACTAGAAAACCTAAATTGACCAATATCATTAAGTAACAAGCACGACATGTATGTGCATGTGTGTATCCACTTGATATATATGAAACCAGCTAAAATTCAGCACTTGTAAATTCAAGACATTTAAAGATGCAGTTCACTGACCCACTGAAATATATTGGATTTACAAGCACTAAACTGGCTCGTGTCCACGTACTTGTGGTGTTTCCCACACTGACATGTGACAATCCGGCTAATCTGTGCTTTATTATTGTCCTTAGTCATCTAGAACATCAAGTGTAAACAGTTAGAAAATAAATTAGAATTGCAAATATGTAATTAAACTAATGGACCATAATTTCTTCTTCCACCTAGAGTTCACACATTATGGCCTTCAGTCAATCCTCTCCTAAATTAGCCTATCCCAGCTCTACCATGTCGCCCCCAAAGAATTTAGGATACCGAACTGAAGGTTATCTCATCTCATCTTCACAATAAACACGTGAGGTAAACTTAGTTGGGGACAAGGAAGTGCGTCACTGAAGACCACCCGATGAGCTTAGAGTCCATTTGAACCTTGGTTTACTCTTGACAAATTTTAGCACTCTCTCCACCCCATTGTGATGATTTTTAATTGTGCAGCAGGCCAGAAAAAGTGCACAAAACCCAAGCCACAAAGATCACAAATCTTTACTTGTAAAATGCAAAAGAGCAAAAGCTTCTAAGCTCTTTCAAAAACAAGTATGTGGTGTGTGTGGGGAGAAGTACGACAACTACCAGATGCTTTCCTACAGACAGTTTGCCAATCCTGTGTTGTTCTTACATTCTAGTGGCCTGAGGGTCTGAAATGCAGTCCCCATTCACACTTTTTCCCCTCTGAGTTGACACTCAGAAGATCCTTGCTCAACACCCGGTTCTCTCCACTCCCTCTTCCTTCCCCACATACATACGAATACTGATCTTTTTTAAAAAATGTACATACCAAATTATGAAAGAGTAAAAACTCTTCAAACGTACGAGGCGGCTCTGCCAATGTCTATAAACACATAAAGATACATTTGTCTTATGAGTAACAAACAAATCAACATTTGTGTACACATCGCCAATAAAATGTTATTAGCAATAACAATCCTGCAGAACTCACATTTGGCCTTAGTTACTTAAAATAGCAAATGGGACATTAATGGCGATTAGATCGTGAAAATTAAGACCAGAATTCTATTCACTGATACGATCATGGAAGGGCTAGTGGATGAGGTTTTCCTCCTCTCCTGCAGGCTCTTTTTTGTGTGTCTGACGGTACACTGTTGTGAAAGCAGATGCACAACTAAACATGCAAAGGACAGGCCACCAAGGGAAAAGAACTGCTGCATGACTGCGCTTGCAGAATTGTCTTTTGTTAACAACATTTTGGCCTAATAAATATGTGTAAGATTAACAGGAAAAGACCTTATGTGTCTAAGGGCCAAGCTAGACAATACCGTTAACTCCTCATCAGAAGCAGAGATCCTCTGAAGGGGAAAGATGGTTTATTCCAACACTATCTATTTGTGTACCTGGAGAGATGATATTCTAAGAAGAGGAAATATATATGTGCCATAATGTGATCTGACCATTAGAGCTGGTCTACAATCACAGATTTACATTTAATGAGCATTGAATCCTGTACATTTATTGGAAGCTCAGATGTATCCACTACTCTAAGCGGTTTTGTACTTGGTCAATGAATCATGTAGAAGTATCTCTCCTGACATAGTCTGCTAAAGATAAATAGGGAAACGTTCAGTGTCCCAGCACAGTCTGAAATACAATATATTTCTATACTACATTTCTATTCTGTCCCAGTATCCACAACAATTAAGGATGGTTTTAAAGTGGTTTTAAGATCTCCCCACACAACAGTAATAAAGACTAATTTGCAATGAAATATACCTAGTTCTTTTCCATATATAAGTTGATGTTGGCTATACATATGGAAAAAATAGCAGACCTATTTTAAAACTGTGGCTTGCCAGTCTATATTTACTCCACTTTGCTGGCTAGTGGCTACATTTTTGGTCTAAGCACAATAATTCTATAAAATCAGAATATCATAGCTGGTTAAATGATCTCGAGGTTTGCTGCTGTTATTTGAGCTGGAAAAACAACAACTCTCATTCACTCTGTACAAATGAGCAGAGGATAAACTGTTTTTCCTTTTATATGAAAATCTAGCAGTGCACAAGCAAGCAAATGAATAAATAAGCGAATAAATCTCTTTCCAAGTCAGGCTATGGTGTCCCGGTCCCAGGGATTTCAGGGCCAAAACCAGAGATCATGGTGTGGGTTCTTGCGATGTCACAGAGGCGGGGCAGGCAAGAGTGGGGAAGGGAGCATGCCCCACAAAGTGCTCCCCACTGAGCCAATGAGCCCTGGGGCCAATGAACAATAACTGGGAAAGGGTCCTGCCTCTGCACAAACCAAACATTCTCCTCTTTCAGGGCTGGATTTTGTGAGATTTGTCTCCCATCCTGGGGGACCTTCACTAAGACCTTCACCTGGCAACGGGAATCACAAATAGTAAAATTTACAAAACCTAGCTCTGTGCAGGGTGATTATTTAATCATCGGCTAAAATCCTCTTGGGTCACTTACTGCAGCATAAGGGACATGCCGCCATTACCATGGCATAGGGCCACGCATGAGAGTCGCTGCTGAGATCCCTCAATGCATGTAAGCCAAGTGGCTTTGCACGGAAAGTTCGATTTTGGGCTCTGCCCAAAGCCACCTGGTCTAGGCCCAAACGAGGAACTGCAGCAGAGACTCTAATTAACATCCATCTGCCATTGCGGCAACATGCTTTCCCCTGTGCTGGTATAAATTACCTAAGAGGATTTTGGCCAGGGGAAAACTGTGGCATAGGATGCTATTTCTGGGTCATGAAACCTGAGCATCTGCAACGCATTACAATTCCTGTACCAGCAGGGCACTGAAATCACAAACTCATAAGATAAACCTAGCTTAGCTTTTGTTGCTTTCCCTGCACTATTATTATACTTTATCATAAAAGGCCCACCTAGCCACTATAAAACATGCCTCACATAAAGGATCCAACTATTTAAATGCATACAACTAAACATTTTTAAAAGACTTAAAATTGCAACACATTAATAATGAAGTATTAGGATCACGAAATGAAAAATGACCACATTTCCTCCTATGGCAAAGAATGCCTTATTTAGGCAAGCATCTGCACTGCAAGTTGTATCTAATGTTTTATTTGTCCTATTTTTATTCCATTGTTGCTATTTATTTGCAATTTCAGCGTACATTAGGGTTAGTTTACATTGTCCTTAGTTGTCCTTGAGTGGTGTATAAACACCAGTGTGGCAGGATATAAGTTATTTAACAACAAACAAATAAAATGTATAATCCTTCTTTTTAACTTGGGAGTCGAGGGAACTCGCCCAAATATGTGTATTATAAACACTGGGAAATGTCAATTGCTCTCTTCTCTTGACATGGCTTTTTAAAGTCTTTTTAGGCATGCGTTTTTGGTAGCCATTCCTGAATGCAGAATTCAATGGTGTTTACTCTGAGGTGGGTGGCTGTCGGCAAAGCGCTGAAAGACAGGCTTTCTCAGAAATAAACCCCACCCAAGTCCATCATGATTTGTTCCAAAATAATCACTATTGTGAATTTGGACCTGGCCGCTCTAAGCCAATGGCGTTGTGTTGCATCCAAACCAACATTTGAATATTTTTGGAGGAGCTACGCTTTTCTCCTCTATCTTGCATGCTGTGACTGGCCAAGCACTCTGGCTCTGGACGTTTTATTTTATGACTTCTTCCTCCTTTGTGCATTGGGCTTTCGTGCTCTTCCTGGATCTTTGCATTTAAAAAATGCCCTGCAACAAATCCACCCCCCTTTCCCAAGGCTTCTGCCCCCTTTTTGCAGCTCCCCCTTGCATTAAAACGCAGGCACCCATGCGAAACTCGAGCACCGCCATGGCCCAGCACCCTGCAATGCTCGTCCTCCTAAATAGTTTTAAGGACCTGCCTCTACACCTTTAAGAGAATTTAACGCTTAATAGGGTTTTGCTTCAACCCTCGACCTTGGAGCGCGGCCGTTCACACACGTCAGGGGAGCCATGCGGCTCCTCCGTTGGCAAGCAGCGCCTTTCCCCAGCCACCATGGCCACCCGACCCCTTTCACTGCTAGCAACAGTTTCGCTAGGCCTCGAGTTACGTTGCTAAGGCGCCTTAGCAACCGCTCTCTAACGCCCCACGGGTGCTTCACTAAAGCTTCCGGCTCTCCCCGCCGACCTCCACACTTTGGTTCCGGCTTCTCCTAGGTATACGGCGCTTGCATGCGCCCCCTTTTCCTTGTTGGGGGGTGGGGGGCTGGGGGAAGCGCAACGTGATCCCAAAGAAGGATAGTTTCCATTTCGTAGGAGCGGAGGGGCCACGATCCCCCCCCAAAAAAACCCGGTGGTGGAGGAACCCCGCCCGGGGCTTTGCCTAAGAAAATGTAGGTTAGTTTTCCTCCTGCAAGGGCGTGCTAAGTAAATAGGGACCGAGCAGCACCCTGTTCATTATCACCTCCCCACCCCCGCTTTGCAATTTAGGGGAGAGGGTGGGGAGGATGCCCGGTAAGGATTTCGGGGATGGCGGGAGGCCCTGGCAGCATGAGGAGCGATGCGGTCCTTGTCTTGCCATGCAAAGTATGAAAGAGCCAAAGGCTTGGGGAGGCAGGGGGGGGGCGATGGAAGCTCCTTGCAACCCTGTAGCTGAGTTGCAATGCTCCTTTAGCTTAAATGTTGCCTTCCAAGGATGTAAGCCAGCTTGGAGGTCCTTTTCAAGGAGGCAGGTGGGATAAAGGCTGCCACCAGAGAGTAAAATGCAGAATGGAGGGATTGACAGAAGACACCGCCCCAGGCCACGTGTCTCTCCTTGAGGGTAGCTCTGTCCAGTTTTCAGGGTCACCCCTTCTTCCAGAGGAGGTGGGGAAGGGACGGCTTCAGCGAAGAGCTGGTGGAAAAGCCAAGCTGGGCCAGCTCCAATCGATCAAAACGAGCGCTAAAGCTGGCCAAAGGTTTCTGTGCAAATGGACTCCTTGTAAAAGTTGTTGTGATTTTTTTTCTTTCTTTTTCTCCAACAGATCCAGGTCCAAGGATATTGTTTGATCGTAAGATGTCTTCCACTCCGTCTGGGGTTTTAAAAGAAGACGAAGAAAGCAACCAGGGAATGAAAAGAAGTTCTGGATGTCTAAAGGGTCACGATTCACAAACTGCAACCCTGTTGAAGGAAACCCCTCTTGAAAATTTGCGTCTGGCATCCCAGGCTGTTCTCGAAAGAGCCCAAAAACAAGGACGATCCAGCTGTCCCAGATGTAAGAGTTCTAGGATGTTCTACTGCTACACGTGTTATATCCCAGTGGAAACGGTCCCTACTGGAGAAATTCCTGTTGTGAAGGTTAGTGGGAAATGTCCCTTATTTGGGGTCTCTTGTCATGTACTCGGCTATCAGGATTAAATTCACCAAATCAGCTGGGAAAGGACAGAGAGACAGATTCCTGGTTTGTATGAAAAAGAAGCTCACAGCTTTACCTGTCCCAGCTTTATTTTCTTTTTAAGACTTGCCAAGAAAAACAGTCAGTTAAAACCCATACTCTGCCATCACAGCTGATGCAGAGGGTGCTTGTTGCGATCCCCCCCAAACAGCCCGTTTAAGAAGCTCCTTGTGTTTCTACTGATGGAAATAAATTGTGGGTTGTTTTTCCCCCTTGTCGGTCCAATGCATGTGCTGTTTTCTTGTTTTCAGCTTCCTTTGAAGATCGACATCATTAAACATCCCAACGAAACCGACGGCAAAAGTACCGCTGTGCATGCTAAACTCTTGGCACCCGACAGTGTTACCATTTACACCTATCCTTGTATTCCGGACTATGAAGACACGAGGCATGAAGTAAGGAGGGGTCTGGAAGAATTAACAAGGGTTCAAAACCCTCCTTCTTTTTATTCCTATCTCACTGGTGATTGGTTGCTCTGACTTGGGATGCAGTAGCTCTAAAACTGTGTTGTTGCATCTAAACCAGCTTCTGAAGTTCTTAATCAGGGATGTTTTCCTCCTCCTCTCATTTTTCTTTCTGTTTCCTTTACCCCCAATGAACAGCTGTCATCGTCTGTCCTTTTCTTTTTTCATGACTTGATGGAAGTTGCATTTTATGTATCTTAGGGTTTCTTGGCTTTCATTAATTTATCTTGGCACCTCTTGATCCAGGATATTCTTGACCTCCATAATCAATCCACAGGTGAAATGTTTCTATTTTTTAAAAAATCATAACTGTGACTCTCTACCGTACAGTAGAACAAAGAGTACGCAGCACCCTAAGGTGAGCATTGTCAGCTCCAGTTTTAATTGTTTGTTGCATTACTAAATTCTTCTTAACGATGGTTCTCTGGGTCCTCCTCCTGCTGACTTTTATTGCATGGCTGTGATCCCATTGTTCATTCTTGCAACAACTGCTCGTTCGTATTATCTTCATAATCTGCCTAACAGCCTTCTTATAAAGCAGATTATTATTATTTTCATTCTGGTGAGAACATGGGGACATAGTCCATTCTGAGTTGAGTGGGAGATGCATTTGGGGCTCTGTTATTCATGTGAAAAGTTAGAAACGGTCTCAGTGTCAGTATCGAAACAGGCAGCGCAGGGCAGAAACTGGGTGAATGAAGGAATGATCTTTGTGATGACTATGCTATCTCTCTTTTTCGATGTAACGGCCATCAAAAAAACATAACCAGACGTACAGATCTGCCTGTTTTCCTTTCAGATCGCCCTCATTTTTCCAGGGCCGAATTCCGTGGCCATAAATGACATCCCTCGGTCTTTGCAAAAGAAATGTCAGGGGCAAGTCAGTTGTGACGAGGAGGATGAGTCACTGACTGAACCCGCTCTCAAGAATGCAAGACTAGAACCGGGGACCGACCGCAACTTGGATGCAGCCGATTGGCACAGTGGGGGCAAGACCGGCCCGCTGAGTAAAATCGTCTTCATCGACAGCACCTGGAATCAAACGAAAAAGATCATCACGGATGAACGGCTTCAAGGTACGTCAGGGGTACGTCCTAACAGGGACGCGCAGCTCCCAGGACTGGTTCTGTCGCACAAATACAAGAGGAAAAAATAAATAAAAGCAAAAAGAGAGGGAGAAAGAGAGAGAGAGTCTCCATCAGAGGCTTTGTCCGCAATGAAAGAGCCCTATTACTTGTTATTACCCATAGTTCATGGAGTGCTGGATCGCTCTGTGGTTTTAGGTGTCTGGCTGCTGAACCAGAGGCTGGGAGTTCAATTCCCCCTTTGTGCCTCCTTTGACAGACGTTGGACTTGATGATCCCATGGGGTCTCTTCCAGCTCTGTCGTTCTAAGACGATGACAGTGATGTTGATACAAGTTAGCTGTGTGATAAACATACGCAAGTTCTGTTTTGTGTCTTCCCTCTACGTAGGACTGCTGCAAATTGAACTGAAATCAAGGAAAACCTGCTTCTGGCGTCATCAGAAAGGAAAACCTGATACATACTTATCGACCATAGAAGCGATTTATTATTTCTTAGTAGACTACCACAAGGAGGTCCTGAAAGAAAAATATGACGGGCAGTACGACAATCTGCTGTTCTTCTTCGCGTTCATGTACAGGCTGATAAAAACTGCTAAGTCCTCGGTAGGCAAAGAGTGAGGCGTTCCTTCTGGTGATTCCATAAAACCCAAAGACTCACCACAGTCCTTCAAAATGGGCCCATTTGAGTTTGGATGACAGAAATTGCGCTGCACTGTGTCCAGGATGCTAACAAAAGAGGCTCCTTTCCTTTAAACTTCATCCTAAATTCAATCTCCAGCAAGTTTCCGACCAACTGCAGCGGGAGCTTTCGCCTAAACCAAAACGGAGCCCATTGCCTCGAAATAGAAATGTTTTCCATTTGCAAAGAGGCCAGCCTGTAAGTCTCATTGCTCAGCTGTTTCATTGTACAAGAATGTGTTCTTGACGGTTGGGGATGATTTCATCCTTCTTTCAAAAAAGGATTAGAACAGTATTTCTGTCGACACAATACGTCAAAAAAAAAATCAGGTGGATGCCAATGGTAGACATGCTTGCAATGAGTGTTTCTTTTTCAGATTTTCGAGACGCCTGTGTTTCAAGAGGTTATATCATTTTGGTACCCAGAATATTAAATATAGGAGATTGAACTGTTCTTTGCTTGTTAGCAATGTACATCTCTTTGAAGTTTCTATGCCAAATTCATTGATACCAAGGGATCAGCTGTCTTTTGTGTTTGTAACACACACCCCTTTTGTCCTGTTGATAACCACTTACTTAGCTTGTTCTACTAATTAATATTAATCAAGTGTTGATTAAATGCTCCAAACGGCACATAAATAGCCCACAAAATTCTGGCACCAGAAGGAGTTTCATCAAATGTTTATCAGTTTTATTTCCAGCTCCTTTCCTCTTTGATGTCCGTTATGATGGTATGGATTATGCCACGGGGAGGGGAGGGGATCCGCTTTGGAGTGGAGAAAGAGTGGTTAGATCTTATTTGCAAAGTCTTCAGTGTTTGGATCCCCAATGGATTTAGGTTGTGCTAGTAAAATAAAATGCTGGACTATGACATACTGGACTTTGTTGTTTGGTTTACGAAGGTCCCTGACATCCACATTTAATTTCATTTTTTTTTAAATATAGGGCAGCCATTTCATCCGAGGTGAGACACTGAATGGCTAAACCTTCTGATTCCAAATATTGGACTGTAACGTCCAGCAGCCCTAGCTTAGCCGATCGCAAGGGGTGGTGCAATGTGTACTCTGGCTTCATCTGTTGTTCTCCATCCCAGCTTTACAGCTACATGAGGCATCCCTTAAACTGGATGGGATTTCTACAAGCACCTCTGTTTGGCAACTCATTGAAGCATACAAAACCTCTTTAGAATAACAGAACTCTCCTGAGTTGGAATAAAACCTGACACCTGCCAGGATCCTGTTGACAAGACACCAACCAGATAACATAGTTCACTTCTGTAAAATGTTTGAAGGCACCTTATAGAAAAAAAAACAAGCTTCATTTCACATAAATGTCTGTGGACTGTATCCCATCTCTTCGGAAGCACAGTGGAGTGTCATCTCAGACATTTCCACTGATGCTGGGAGGTGGGAAACGTCCATCTATACTAAGGCTCAATGCCATGCATCTCAAACAATGCTCAGTTCATTTCCACTGATGCTGGGAGGTGGGAAACATCCATCTACTGAGGCTCAATGCCATGCATCTGTATTCCATGAAGACTTATGCCTTAACAAGGTTACCTGTCTTGAGAGAACTTCAGTTGACTTGACCACACATTATGGGAAGGTGCCTCATCTTCTCGCTGTCCTATAACTTCTTTTGTTGAGCTCCCTTGGGTCTCTATGTTTATCGTGCATTACGTATATAGGGAGAAGAAAGCCATTAAATTCAGCCTGGGACCCAGTGTGGGTAAAAGGGATCCTTACATGGATATTTCCCCATGCAAACACTCCACCCAAAAGACACACAGGTATGCAGAGCTGAGATGTTGGCCCTCGTGGTCTTGTGATGTTCGTTTTTTAATACACCCCAACTCAAGGTTTTAAAGTTCAGGGTGGAATAACCTCTATCCTGCCGTGTAAACCATGGCTGCGATCCAGCCTGTAATGGAGTGCCCTTTAGGCTTGCTGGATCGTGGCCCACCTGGCAATGAATGGCTACCATTAGACAGCCAGAAGCGTGTTTACGGCAAGCAATATCTTGAGCCACCATCTCTTCTGTAAACCGCAACAACAAATGCTTCCACTCTTCGCTGTTGTTTTAGGGGCGTTCGGGGGGGGGAAGGGGGGTATCTTGGCTTTGCAGGAGGATGAATGCTGTTTCCCATGTAAGGATTTTGAGGCCTTTTGAACATGTTTGTCTCTCTCTCTCGCTCTTTCAGTGTTGCGAAGCAAGGACGATTTTGATCTTTTCCTCGGAAAGTTAGAAACAGCTATCCTTTTAAAAAAAAGAAGAAGACTGGATTCTAGCATTAAAGGGAAAGCAACCCCACCCACTGGAAATACACAGAGAAGCAAACCCCTGACCTAATGTTTTACAACATTCAAACCAAAGGAAAAACTCACTCTCTTCTCTTCCAAATCACGTTTCTTTGAAACGGGCTGCTTCCCTTTTTCCTGCTCCACCATTTTAAAGGAGAGCCAGATAAACACGGGTAGAAGCAGATTTTGGCTTTACTCTTTGAGACTGTTGCCCTTTAGTCCTCCTCATCGGGAGTCCAAGAACCTCTTGCAGGCGGCATTTCACCGCATGGGTGGGCCGACTCAAAAGAGGTTGCTTTCAGATGCTGTTCTGTGCTGTCAAGTGACATCTCGCTGACAACAGCCTTGGGAGTGTTTTTTAAGCTATGTGAGGTATTAAGAGCTAGTTCCATTATTGCTGACCCCCCAACCCTCTGTGAGCTTCCATGGCTGAGCTAGGGATTGGAACTGGGTGTTTAAGGTAACCTTGCCCAGCAAAAACGACCACAGGTGTGGAAGTAACGGTTAGACTTCTTCGAATTGTGCGTCTCAGAGTTTCACCTGCTTTCTCATCCTGAGCTAGTTCCATATTGGTCCCTCACCTCCCAGACGTGTATTTTCATTGGGAGGCATAACGGCCTTGCTGGTCTGCTTCTCAGCCTTTGGTATGTGAAGTCTCGCCGTTTACTCCATCAACGAAGCCAAAGTGATCTGCCCGTTACTTAATACGCCCTTTTAATAAGTCCAGAGATTTACATTTTCATCCATAAAGGTACGGAAACCACTCATTTCCCTCACGATCAAACACGTTCAGGGCTCCTACCTGTCCCACCGCTGCCTATAAATAAGAGACTGCATCCACCCTGAAAGTCATCCCAAAATGATATAAATTATGGACACGATCCTGCTAGTGCTACATCTGAAATTGGAGCAAGGGAGGAACGGAGTTATTCCAGATTCGAAACCCCTCCAGCCCAAGAATGGCATAAAATTAGGCCAGGACGAAGATGGTCTTGAAAATTTTGGATTTAGGACCTATATAATTTCCCGCCTCAGCAGGATAGGAGTGGTTTTGGTTCATCACAGCTTCTGCTGGCCTTGCTGATTCATCTGCTCCTTGGCTGGTTAACGACTACCCTTTTCCTCCCATAAGTACCATTAACATCAACGCGCACAAGTCCCTCAATAAAATTAAGGGTGCCCAACAGAACTGATCCCTCTCCGCTTGGGCGCCCTCGTGTTTTTATACGAATCTGACTAATGGCTATAATAAGCTTCCCGGATTTTGGCTTGTAGAGCGTCGCAGGTCTTCTTGGCATCCCCGAGCAACATTGAGGTGTTTGGCTTGTAAAAAATGGGGTTGTCGACGGCGGCGTACCCAACGCCCAAAGTGCGCTTCATGACAATGACCTGGTGGAGAAACAAAATGGCAGCATGAAAGGAGGTCGGTGGGCGGCCATGTTGGACTTTTGCTACAATACCAAAGACAAGCAGGCCAAGTGCAGCCCCCACTCCTCCCTGTCTGCCATTTTAAACATGGGTCCGGTTGACCTATTTATAGACGAGTTACATTTACAACCAGTCTTTTCCCTTAGGAACTCAAGGTGGCCTCCGGGGCTCTCCTTCTTCCCCACTTTTGCGAGGTAGGGCAGGTTAACAGAATGTGACTGGCCCAAGGTTAACCCAATGAGCTCCATAGCTCAGGAAGGGTTAGAAGCTGGATGTCCCAAGTCCCAACCCCTCCAGCACCCTCCATTCCCAGAAATCACCTTTCCTCCCACCAGGCACCTCCCTATTTTGCTGCTATGGGCCGTTGAGTCCCCTCTAATTTATGATGACCCTCGGAAGGAGCGGCCTCCAAAATACCCTATTGTTAATAGCCCTGTTCAGCTCTTGTGCGTGGGGACGAAACATCCCCCTCCATGTGCATTTCACGCCTGCTGTGTGTTTTGTTTTGCTGCTTGGGGGGGGGGGAAGAGGACAACAAAGACTGAAAGAAATGGCATCTCTCCCTTGCGATTACTCACTTGCTTAGACTTCCAGACCTCCAAGACAGGCATACCAGCTATAATTGAATTTGGATCTTCTTGAGCAGCAGAGTTCACAGTGTCGTTGGCACCGATCACCAAAGTGAGGTCTGTATCTGAGAAAGAAAAGAAAGCCAGTCAGGAAAAAAATATGAACTGTTGTGAAACGACTGGCTGAAATCCGGTTGGTTAGAGCAGACTGTTGCAACTGGAGTAGACCTATTTGATTCATGGAGCAGATGATGCACTGCCTCTCTGTGGCTTTAGTGGGCCTACTCTAGTGCAACGTAGTAGGCTAAGCAACAGGATTTTAGCCCAAGTCTTGTTCCTTTCCAGGTATACCTCGCACAACTTCACCGGGCATAGAAGCAGACCACCGCTGAAGGCTAACTAGCCACAGACCTCCTGTGCACCATATGACTGGGATTAGATTTCTGGTCTAAACCCACTAGGCTTCTCTCCTCTTCTTAGGACCCTTCTTCAGCTGTCCTACGTGCAGCTCCTGTGCCACAGGTATAATATCTGAAATTGAGCCTAATATTCTATACATCAAATGTCTGTCTCTTTAGGTATCAGCGTCCACCATACCTTTAACTGGGGTGACCCAAGAAGGGAGCCTTTGATCTGCTTTTATTCCTTCTGGAGCAAACGTTCCCTTACTTTTAATGCCTGCTATGCAAACAGCCGTTCTCTGCCAGCCACATCAAGCTTAGCATTTATCAAGCCTGAATTCTGAGTCTTTCAAGATACTTAATGTAAGCTCTGTTGTCTATCTAAGCACCCCTTGGGATGCATGATTATTCTTTGGCCTAAATACAAAAGCAGGCATTCAAATGAACATTCTCTTGGAGAAAAGACAAAATCCTGGTTTCGTTGTGTCCTCGTTCCCCCTCGCCCACCCTCCTTTCTTTACCTGGGAAATCTTCATTTATCTCATCCATTTCCAACACGACATCGTAAGGCACGCCAGCTTCTGCCAACAGAACATTGAGCTGCCCTGGCATTCGGCCCGCCACAGGATGAATCCCAAATCTGGAAAGCCAGAGAGAAAAGGAATGGCGCCTTTACATCCAAGACATGCTGAACTAATAAAAAGGAACCGATAAATGTCAGCTAGGCTATGCAGGTGGAGGCAGGCCAGTTCTAGCACTGTCTACCTCCCAGCTGAGCCCGAAGCAATAACGGAGAGCGTGTGGAAGAGGCGGCCAATGTTTGCGAAGAGCCGTTGAACGGGCCAGCTCTCCGGGGAAGAGCGTAGGGGCGGACTCTGTGTTGCACTCCTGTGAGCTGGGTGAACGGAAGGCTCTAGCTCAAGGTCAAGGTAGAATATCTTGGTGAAGCTCAAGGTCATTGGAATTAAAGCTCTCTTAAAAGGTAGAACATCTCTGTTTATCCTCGCAAACACTTGACTCACTCCCTGCATGGCAAATTAGATTGGTTTTGCTTGGTGATTGGTCATGGGACGGTACGCAGAGCCTTCACTGGCAAATCTGATAGCTCAGGCATGGAGGTTTGAACCCACTGTGTGCTGGAGAGGAAAACATGGTAACACCAGGGAATAAATCTTTCTCTTAACTTGTGATTTTGACCACAAGAGAATTGAATTGGCCGTATCTCGTCTGCTGAGCTTCACTGTTGAGCAGAAAGTAAAAGCTACCCTCCCCAGTCCAAACGACATGATAGGATAACCATCAAGTAACAAACCAATTTGCTGGGGTAGAAGACAGGATAATCTGGGTCAGAGTAGAGGGCTGGGACAAGTTGGAACTCCAGGAGACAGAAAAGTTGAATCTCCTCCCCTTGGTCTAATCCCAACTCCTGCACAGCAGTGACTTCTTTTTAAAAAAGAGTCTGATCCTATATTACTGTGTGCATGGCTTTTCTGAGTAGAGGGCTGGGACAAGTTGGAACTCCATGTGTGCATGGCTTTCCTTTGTACCTATGCTATTGCAATTAGTTTTTGTCACAGTGCGCAGCTAGGTGTTCCTCACTGCAACATCCCTGAGGTTAACTCTAGAATGGACCTCTCTGAAATGAGATCTTAGAAAATGACTGTTTCTCCTGGTCCAACACCACCACCCAACGTTCTTCAACCAGAATCCTCTGCTCACATTTCTGGCAGCGCACAAGCCTGTCATCACCAGAGAGTGGAGGTATGGTTATGTTCCAAGGTGGAACATAAAACATCTCAGTTCTTGGTAACCTAAGAACTACAAAGAGCAGGATACGGTTTGTTCTGCCAAGATGATAGCGGAAGAAAAGAAGGGTGTGCAGGGGAGAAAATCTGGAAAAGGTGGCACCGTGTTCACGGATGGAGAGGCTGTGAGCCTTTGATGGCCTCGTGGATCAAACTATTCATGGGCCGACCTTTCCTCGTCTTTCCTTTGGAATGGAAACAAAAAGTGTTCACTTGCTCTTTCCTCCCGGAGATGCAGCTCTAAAGACATCAGATTACGCCAATCGCAAATGTATTGTGCTATTATTATTTGATCTGACAAGGAGATGCCCCTCAGATACATCTTTACAGTTCTCAAAGCTAAAGACATGGAAAGTTCATTTTTGAAGGGCAGTTCCCACAAAATCCCAGCCTGGGTGGCTCCCTGCAAATCAAAAAAGTGAGACATGTCTACTTTGGATTCTTCTTCCCCCTACCCCCAGAATGATGTCATTTCAGCACAGCACCTAAACTCATAGGTAAACATGGCTCTTATTCCCCCTCGGGCTGGGGAAAACACTGTCAGCTTGCCCGAACTTGGCATCAGTGGGGCCGCCCTGTCCTTTGGCTGGTGGAAGTTGGGATCTGGGGAAACTGAAGCTCCTTCCTCCCTTTTCAATTCTGCTGACAAATCACAGTGGGCAAAGCAGATCTGCTGGCTGATCCCTGCACTGGCAGATCTCCGAAATCTGCCAGCGGAAAGGAGATCTGATTCTGAATCCCCCACAGCCGGGGCATCTCTGAGTCAGGATTACCCTGTTATATGCCTGGGGGAGACGCACGGACCCATTCGCGACTCTCGTGTATGTCCTTGTGACTCACGTCACCTGTTCGCCCCAGCAGGCGGGCTGCACTGACCTGACTTTCTTCCCTTGTTCGGTCAGCATCTTCACCATGTCCGCGATGGGGTACTGAGCCTTGGCTGCACAGAGACCCCAACCTGCGGTGGGGAGAAGAGAAATAGGAAAAGGCAGGTCAGCGCTTCAGCCCCTGCTGAACATCTCTCCCACGGAGGTCTTCCTTTCTGATAAAAACTACCTGAAAATAGACCCCCTTGGTTTTGTCCATAGGCACCCCTTTTATGCCTTCTTCTCTCCCATCCCCTCCCTTCTTCCAGCTGAGTTTCCCGGCTGCGCGACTCTAGATTTAAAGACTCATTTGTTCCTCCTGTTTCCTCCACACACACACTTCCTCTTTGAGCTCTGGAAGACATTTAACCTGGATCATTCAAATCCATACATGCACACGGCCGCCCCAGCATGTTCTCTCTAATGAGAAAGACAGTGGGGGAGACTTAGCTTCCTCGTCTTCCCCGTGAGACATATTTATTAACCAAGAAAGACAGTAGGAAGAATAATACTGTACATAATCAATGCCAGAGGAGTGCAATGTTGATCAGAAAACAATACCTTGATTGATAGCCCTTTCTAGTCCCAAAGGAAGGCAAAGCAGATTTAAGCAAGTATCACTACATTCTTACCAGGTGTAATGATGATTGAGTTGGCTTCTTTGATCAGATCAATGGTCTGATCAATCCCAACTTCCGTGTGCGTTCCGACTATTTCCATGGGTTTTCCTCCGGCTGTAGATGTTGTACCATATCCACCCAAAATGACATTTGGCAAAGATCGGTTCATGGCCTGGACAAACCACAAGGCACAGATGAAGAGAAATCCCAACAATTTCATGTCAAGCTGAGAGTTAGGAATAAATGCTCAGCAGTTGAAAATTGCATCTTTTGTTCAGTGGAACATGTGGAATGACTAAGAATGGTTAGTTCAGTCCTTTGTTTGCAAATTGGGTTTCATATCCTATTCTTAACTACTACTACTACGACAACAACAACAACGAGGGGCTTACCACACACATGATGTAAGACAGGATCGCTCCTGAAGAACCAATCAAGGCACCCACAATGGTCATCAGGTTGTTCTCGAGAAGAAACCCTTCGGCGCATAAGGCCCATCCGGAATAGCTGTTGAGGACCGTGATCACCACAGGCATGTCTGCCCCGCCGATAGCCGCCGTCAGGGTCACTCCCTGCCATTCCAGAGGGAGACAACCTGAGCATTATGTCTGCCTAACACAGCACTCGGAATTGACATGACTGCGTTAATGGCAATTGTTCACTCACTCCTCTGCTAACATAGAATCATAGAAGGATGTGGTTGGAAGAGGGTCCAACCCCCTGATCAGGGCAGGGAAACCAAAATCAAGCAGATCTGCCAGGCGGTTGCCTGAATGCCTCTTGAAGACCTCCAGTGTTGGAGCCCTCACCCACCTCCCCAACCAACCAACGCCACTTCGTTTATTATCTGTTTTTGCAATGAGCCAGTTGGGAGTTAGGGTGTGATGCTCGCTCAGGCATGAAAACCCCACCTGTGAGGAAAAAAATCAAACTTTCTCCTCATCTGGTGCTATCTGCCCTGCATTTTGTCCCACCACCTAGTAGTCGGGGGAACCCTGGCTGTTCTGTCAGACCCCAAACGCCAACGCACCATGACCGAAGAAAGTCCCGACACGCCGAGAAGACAAGCCATGCCCGTGGCGTAGCTGGGATCCACCATGAAAAGTATCATGCCGCCTGCGGAAGCTGCTAGAAGTCCGCCGTTCAGGTAATGGCGACCAGGCAGGAGGAGTGGGGCCGAGTTTAATAAGCCTAGAAGAAGAACAGAGAAGAAGAACCAAAGAAGCTGAACCTTTCTTGGCATTCACAAACTTGTAAAACTATAAGCTGAGAAGACAATCAGGTCAAAAGAAATATGTTGATGGTGCCAGCACCCGGCTTCGTTCCTGCTCTTGCTAGTGTTTACCAGTGGCCAGAAATGTAAAGGGAGTAAAAAAGGTAAAGGTAAAGGTTCCCCTTGACAATTTTTGTCCAGTCGTCTTCGACTCTAGGGAGCGGTGCTCATCCCCGTTTCCAACCCATAGAGCCAGCATTTGTCCAAAGACAATCTTCCGTGGTCACATGGCCAGTGCGACTTTGACACGGAACGCTGTTACCTTCCCACCAAAGTGGTCCCTATTGATCTACTTGCATTTGCATGCTTTCGAACCGCTAGGTTGGCAGGAGCTGGGACAAGCGACAGGCGTTCACTCCATCGCGTGGATTTGATCTTACACCTGCTTGGTCTTCTGAGCCTGCAGCACAGGCTTCTGCGGTTTAGCCTGCAGCAGCACCACGTCCCTTGCAGTGCCACCACGTAAAGGGAGGGTCATTCCTTATTCCCCGACTCACTGTCTAATTCCCCAGCCTCCAAGGAACCTCCCTAAAATTATTATTTCAACCACGGTTTTAAAAATTCACTTTCCGGAAACTGTTCGAAGGAAGAGTGGACTCCCATCCACCTTAGCCAATAGGACCAACAGCGAAGGATAATGGGAATCATCACCCAATAATTTCTGGAGGTCCATAAATTGCCTGCCCCTTTCCTTGTTCTAAAGCAGGGGGAGGAAATCCTCCCAAATCATCTCTCCATCGCTCTGTCTGCACCATGCATCCACGCCATGCAAGGTGGTTGACTTTGTCTCAACGTCAACCACCATGGCTCAAGCAATGTCAATCGCCATGTCACGGCAATGCTTTGGCTCTGCATTTAATTGGCCGCGTCTCGAGCAGTTGCTTATTACTTCAGCATGTCTCGGGATGAAGCCGTAAGATCTTCCAAAGGCTGGCACCAATCCTCATGAAATTTGTCACGGACATGAGTTCCAAAGCCTGGGAGAGCCTCCGGTCAACTGTAGGAAAAGCCTACGAACCTGAACGTTGGGCGCCGAAACCACGGGGGGGGGGACATACCTTGTAGCTTCCCATAGGCTACCAAGGAGCCGCTGAAGGTCACTCCACCAATGTAGGTGCCCAAATAGGCCACGGTCTTGAGCACGCTAGCCGAGGGGTGGACGTCCAAGTGTGGATATTCAATCATGTACTCTGCAATACAGGTCAGCACCGCGGCCAAACCCACCAGGCTGTGGAAGGCCGCAACGAGCTGGGGAAGGTCCGAGATCTCGATCCGCTTTGCCGTCGTGAGACCTGCAAAATCCAAGGGGTTGTGATCGGAGATTAACAAAAGAAAAATGGAAAACATTATATGGTATTTCAGACCACTCTCAAAACGTGCCAAATAGTCAGTTAAAATCGCAAAAGGCTTGTTTACTTTCATGAGCAGTTTTCCCTTTTTTGTGCAAAGACAAAGGAAACTTAATGGGAAATTATAACCTCCTTTAAAGCCTTCTCCTCTCAAAGGGAAAACAAACAAAAACAAACACAAACTCACACAGACTATGCAGGGCAACAAGAACAAAAGAACAGGGAACAAAAACAGAATGTCTCCCATCGTTCATAACCTTTGTTAGGGTCCCATACTCTTGCTGGAGGTAGCCATTCTGAAGGTGGACTTGAGGGTCAAATTAGACATTAAGAGGACATTGTATTTCTTCTGATTAACGCCTTTCCTCTTCTAAATCAGGACTTCCTCAAAGATATTTGCCTTAACCATCCCCCTTGCCTATTAAGCCCATGTTTAGCTTCCAAGGCCCAACCATGAAACAAGACACGCTGGAAAGATGTAGAAGATGCCTCAGTCTGAGAAACGCACTCATCGTATCCCTCATACAGAGGGGATGGTCCTCTTTGACCTTCAGCATTCTGGACTGGAAAACACTGAAGAACAGGTCACTCCCAATGAACTCAGAGCCTCAGGGATACAGAAGGAAGAGGGCTACCCAGCCCTGAAGGGGAGGGATAGGTGGCCCCGGGATAGAGAACAAGGCAAGCTGTCCTTCTGGAGAAGTGCTGGAGTGGAGTACAAAAAAGGGCTCATCACAGAAAGAGCCTCCTTATGGCCGGGGTGCTTCTCCAGATGATGACGTGCAACAAAAGGCCTGTAACGGAGTTCTGGGTGAGATGTGTAAGCCTCAGAAAGAAAGGCTGCTGGAGACAAGATCCACAGCCAGCTATAGCAACCATCATTCGGCTCTTACTCTGGTGGGATCCCTTTGTATTTGATCTTGGATTTTATGAGGAAAGATCAGAATCTCACTCTTTGGCCCCCTGTTCTTATTCACTGAGAGGTGAGTTGCACCAATTTTTTCCCAACGTTGCAAATGCTTCAGACTGATTTTTCTAGCTAATTAGGGGCGGATATGCCTAGGCAGGTCCTAGTGCAGGAACTTGGGGAAAGTAATCTAACATATGTAGTAATAGTTACCGGTCATGAAAAAGGTACTTTTGTTCATAGTAACTCTCTAGCCAGCTCAATTCCGGGATTAAATGTTTCTGTTTTACAAATCTTCTTCCATCCCTTTCCTCTTAGTCAAGAGTGCCACCTTTTGGAGTTAAATATAGCTTAATTCCCAAATGATGCTTTAAGGTCCACTAATAAATTACCAAGACCGACAGTTATTATATTACCAGCAGTAGCAATGCTGCTGAAACAACAGAAAAGACAGATCATCCACCAATTGGTGGGAATGGAACAGACGCATGTCTGATTCCAACGCTCAGCTGAGGATTTGTCTTAGGAAACAGGTCGTCGTGGTCAATATTTGTCAACTAGTTGAGAATACATGCTAGCCATTTAATAAGTCATATGTATTGTGCACTCCCCGAAAGAGTCCCCTAGCCATGACAAAGGGCTCACAGATTTGAACGACTTGGAGATCTACAGGGTCTGAGAAGTCAGACCTCCTGCAGAAGAACCCTCCAGGTCTGGCTTCAAGCAAGGATCACGAACTTCAACTAGTCCATGAGAATGAGGAAGAATATTAAGTCTTGGGTTGGACACAAGAGTCTCAGACGAAGTGCTAGGAACCACAGGAGATCGCTGTTGGCTTCAAGCAAGGATCACGAACTTCAACCTAGTCCATGAGAATGAGGAAGAATATTCAGTCTTGGGTCGGACACAAGAGTCTCAGATGAAGTGCTAGGAACCACAGGAGATCGCTGGGAGAAAGCCTACGGCAGAAGGTCCACACTTGAGTCTTTGGCAGCACCAGGGTATAAACATCTGGTGGACCAAAACTCACTGCTGAGAACGATCTGTCTAACTCTGCTCAGACATGGGGCAGCCAAAGCCCCGTTTCCTGGATCCGTGTATACAACCTCTCAATATGACTGGCCCTGGGCTGAATGTTGTCATGCCCTGTGCGCCCCTGCGTCAGATTCTTGCCCATCTCTGATTTTAGGTCACTGACTTTGGCTTCAAAAGCTCTCTGCTCGGAAACCGAGGTGGCCTCATAGGACATGACCTGCCTTTGGTCTTTCCTGGACTCTGCTGGAGCGTGCCTTTTCTTGATTGGCGTTGAACAACTTCTTTTCCAGACAACCCGTCCTCCCCCCACTTCCTCCATGGGGATCCCTTGCTGTTACATGAGTACGTTCCACACCACGCACACAGCGAAACAGTATCTCCCTGGGCCTGTAAATTACAGGAGGAGGACTACCATGACTGTACTATTTTCTTTTGGATAGCTTGTCCCCTAGGAATGTAAAAATTTTCCTTGCTCTTTCACAAGAGGATGAAGAAGTGTGATGGTCTTCTTTTCGTCTGAGAACACGGTAGAGGAATTTATCACACTGGGGAGAACAACGACTGCCTTTTGAGCACAGAACTCTGCAATTCGTGGGTTTGGTGAATTGAGCGAATTGGTTAGAGTTGGGTAACGGCTGTTTTGCTTACGAATCCGAAGCACTGGGTGGATTATTCGCTTCTTTCTTAACCATCATCTAGTCTTCCTATTTGTTCTCAGTGTGGGGGTGCTTTGCTTTTTCCAAAAGTTGGGACACAAGAGGCCTTTTGTGCAAATCACGAAGGCGTTGGGGGGCAGGAGAACCTCTTTTCTCACTCTTGGAGGTAAGAAGAACGTCACTGGGTTTCAGGATTCTCTGTTCAGGCATCTCACCCTGTTTGTAGTGGTGTGGTTCCTTCCACCCCACTGATTTTTTCTCACAGGGTGAGCATTGGTAAGCTGGCCAGCCATGCCCCGTTTCTCCAGGACAGCCTTCGAAAGACACAGGCATAACACCAACAGATCTGAGCTTACCAATCGTGGCTCCCATCGCCATGGCTGTCGACATCTGAGCCATCACTTCTGGGGATGGCTTCAGCGCCCCTAAGGTGGCTGCCAGGCCGCCAGCAACCCCGATCATCCCTAGGGCATTGCCCAATCTTGACGTACTCTGGCTGGACAACCCTGCCAACGCCCCAACACAGCAAAGGCCTGATCCCAGATACATCATCTGAAAAAAAAATTGTCACTAAGTAAATAAGCATGCAATCAACAGAGGCCAAAACAGAGGCCGTCAGAAAAGCCAAGAGAAAAGAAGGTTAGGTGCCAAGTGTGCTTGTTACACAGAAGGCATCCTCTAAATATCCTAAATTTTGTGGTTGACAGTTGTGGGGGCTGTGCACCTTAACCTCAGAGTATACACATAAATAACCTTCACTATAAGAAACGCAGCAGATAAAAGCTCTAATTGTCATTCACTTCAAATTTTTGTTCCATTTCCAGCCTCTAAAAGGAGGTAGAAAGAAGGCAGAAGAGAAATGACTCAGAAGGGGCTTACTTCTGTCACATTTACTTTAGAGGAAGGTAACCAAGAAGAAGAAAAAAACCTGATTACTGTAGTTCATGATTAACTTTCCTTAGTCAACCCATCTTTGCTGGATTTATTCTGTCTCTTCCACACCGGGGTGTTATTGTAAAAGCTTCCAGCCATCATTTCCATGTGAACAGACCCCTAGTTCAAACACATTCTGCAGATGCCAGCTCGGTGAGATCACCCTGTCGGATTCTGCTCTTAACTTTGGGAGTACCTTTGATACCACAAGATTGCTTTGAAATCCATTCATGACATTGCAGTTAGACAGACCGTGCGGATGGCCACTTCCCTGTCACCAAGGCCAGCTCCCTGCTAACCTTTCAGAGGGAAGCAAATTGCACCACTCAATGGGTGTTGCTTGAGAAGCATTCATTATTCCTCCCAGCCACCCGAAAGGGCTGTTGATCTACATAACCTAAATTGAGGGGTGGGGGAAGAGCTGGCACTTGTGGGTCCCCCTCCTACTCTTTTTAAAGTAGAACCCCAAGTTCAAATTATCCAAGCCAGGTGCAAAAGTGGGTGGAGGTGGGGAAAGGAGACAGAGAGAGAGAGAGAGAGAGAGAGAGAGAATGTATTCTAGAAATTGCAGTAATGAAAAAACTACACCATATGTTTCTGTGCTTTGCTTCTGTATAATAAATCACACACAGACACACACACAAACATGAGTTACTATACAGAAGCAAAGCACAGAAACATATGGCATAGTTTCTTGTCGTGAGAATCCCCTAGCCTACAAATCTCAGAATTCTGTAGAATGGAACCAGGACAGTTAAAGGATGATTATCCGATTAACAGAAAACGGCAGTGCGCATGGGCAAGAAGCTCCCATCGTACCTTTTAACCACCATTCCAAATGGCATCTTATATTAAACACTTGCTTGTTTGAATTAGAAATGCAGGAGGACCCCTGTAACCGCGGGATCAGTATCCATGGTTTCACTGATCCATAGTCTGAAAATATGCATGTATAGGATTCACAATTATTCACAGTTTTCAGTATCTGCAGAGGGGCTTGGGACCCATCCCCCACAGACCCTGCAGTCCTACTGTATACATGTATTGCATGGTAAAGGTTCCCCTTGATATTCAGTCGTGTCTGACTCTAGGGAGCGGTGCTCATCCCCGTCTCCAAGCCGTAGAGCCAGCATTTGTCCGTGGTCACGTGGCCAGCACGGCTAGACACAGAATGCCATTACCTTCCCACCGAGGTGGTGCCTATTCATCTACTCACATTTTTACATGCTTTCGAACAGCTAGGTTGGCAGGAGCTAGATCAAGCGACGGGAGCTCACTCCGTCGCGTGGATTCGATCTTACGACGGCTGGGCTTCAGACCTGGCAGCACAGAGGCTTCTGCAGTTTAACCCACGGCGCCACCCACGTCTCTGTATTGCATGAACTGGAGCTAAATCATGATCCTAAATCAACAACATTCCTTCCCTTTCTCTGACCAAAAGTAGTTTCTCTCTCTTTAGGATAATTTGGTCTGTTTATCAATTTCTGCAGAGACAACCTAATCGACAGGAAGAACGAAACAGGATGATTATTTTTTCACAACCTGCTCAATGCTGTATCCCGTGAGAAGAGATGCTCCGTAGCCTCCAACAAAGGCAGTTCCAGGGAGGAGGTAGAGATAATTGTATTCCGGTGGATCTGTTGGACGTTTAAACATGTCCAGCATGCGCTGGGTAATTAAGAAACCACCTGATGGAAGAAAAAGAGAGATGCAGCCTCTTAGAACGAGAATGAAGGGATATAGGTAAGTCTATTTAATTTGCATCAGAGCTGAGTTGTGGTTTCGGCCTGGAGTGCTGGAATTCGAGGAGGTAGAAGGGGCTCTCACCACGGAGCAACTGCACGCTCTGGGTTTTGAAGGGGAACTATCTTCGACCTGGACCAGCAGTCACATATTCTGCTAGCCTATTCAAAGAGCCTGGATCAAGGAGACCCAAAGAAGTGGGCAAGAATTAGAGGCACACCATCAAAGGCAAGTGATCATCTGAGGGCAGGGAAGATGACACTATAGTGCTAACATGACTCAGAGGGAGGTGACAAGCCCAGGAGAACACTCGGAAAAAAAAAACAGGTTCTTTTCAGTTCCTCAGGTCACCTGAGAGACAAAGATAAGGGCGTCAAACTAAGTGCTCAACCCTCAAACTCCCGCTGCTCATGTGTTGTCCCAGTGAGTCAGGGCGTTGGGCGCCTGCTGGCCTTGCAGTCCTTGATTTGAGACCTGTGAGGCTTTAAAGACTTCAGGGTCCAGGGAGAGCGTTTCCAGAATCCATCCAAGCCCTGAGATCTTTAGCAACACATAAAACATGGTTGGCACATTCTGTCTGCTTTCTACAAAATGGAAGCCATCACGCCCAAGTGACAAGAGACTGGATGCCAACCATTCAACCGTTGCTTGTTGACGCCAGTTTTTTGGGGGAGACTCTTTCTAGATTTGCTCCCCCATGAGACTGGTGGTGGGCTTTGGGTCTTCTCCCACCTTTCTCCTGTTCCTTTCATACTATTGTATAGAAAAGAGGCAAGCATCTTCGGTGTCCTTGGTTGCCCATTCTCTGCCTCTGGGACCTTCTGAGATGCTCACCGGGTGCTAATTAAGCATAGCAAAACAACACTGGCCAGAGATCCACGTCTGGCTTTTAAAAAAATGTTTAATCTTTTGTGCTACCCATTCTCTGCCTCTGGGACCTTCTGAGACGCTCACCGGGTGTCAAGTAGGCATAGCAAAACAACACCGGCCAGAGGTCCATGTCTCGCTTTTTAAAAAAAGATTTAATCTTTTGTGCTAGATGGCACAAAGGGAGTTGTAGTCTAAGAACATCTGGAGGTCCAAGGTTGGGGACCACTGTGCTAGATGGCACAAAGGGTGTGTGTGTGTGTGTGTGTCTGTGCTGCAACCTTTTTTTAAAAAATTAAAAGATTGATGTCTCTGTCTTGGAAACATTTCACCTCTTTTTTTCCCCCCAGGGGAAAATGGTACTGGAGTCATCTGAGGAGTCGCATTCGAACAACACACAGACGGCTAGGCACATTCTACGTCTACTCTAGAGGAGGCTGGATCAATACCCAAGGCAAGGACAAACGTGCATTGAAATAACTACAGGATGCCCATGTTAGACCTCCGTTATCTTCTCTGAACCACAGAATGGGAATAAGTTCCGGGCAGAACATCTTAATATCCAGACAGGCCTCAGCTGGTATTGCAAAAATCACAAAAATTTGTTTGCTGCCAGGATATTATTTCTCAAGCTATGAAGTTTCAAATTTCTGGGTCAAGCCAACCAGTTTTTCTTGCAGCATCGCTATTTCTGCAATAGACCCCCATGCAATCTTAAAATATAAGACCGAGAATACAAAGTGTGTGTTGGGTTTCTTTCTCCTTAATCTTCCACTTTCTTTTCTTTTTCTTTAATATTTAGGTTTTATACTCGTTCAAATTTTCTCAGATTGCTGTGATGATGGTGGTTGCCATCATTTTTCCATTGTATTAGCATTATGTCTTGTTTGTTGTGCAAATACCTAAACAATCTCTTTCCAAAGTTTCAAGGGTGACGCTGGTCAAGTGCTTGGGTAGAACCTCTGTTTCAATCATTTATCCATCTATTGTTTAATTAGTTCATTCGTTAATTTGGATCCTGCCCCCTTCCCAACAGAGGAAAGACTATCTAATGGCAGAAAAACACAGCAGCTCTAAAAGGCTTTGAAATGGGAAAAACTTTACAAGCCATCTAACTATTTGCAAGCATTTGAAAAAAGCAATAAAGAAAACCGTTTAAATGATGGTTGTTCTTAAGAGGTTAAGAGGAAAGCAGGAAGGCAGGAAGGAAGGCAGGAAAGAAGGGGAAGGAATGTGGGATCCTCCCAGGACAATTGTTGAAGACCAAGTTCCATATGTTTGAAGCGAGCAGCGATTTAGATACAGCGATAGTTGGTCTGTACCTGCAATATTGACTGAGGAAACAAAGGCAGCCAGCAAAGCTAACGTCTGTGGCGTGCTAGAAGGAAGGTACGACCCCCCCATCAACACCAAACCGCCCACGGCAGTCAACCCTGGAGGAAAAACAAAATAGGTTTAGACTTTATAACATAACAAAGGAATGTGCAATTAGCAATCCCTTCTCAAAATCTTTGTATGATACAACAGATGTTTCCTGTTGTGGCCGAATCCAGTGGGTTACTCAAATTGCCAACAGCTCTCTGCTTGCCTTCTGAGCAAGTTAGATGGGAAATGCCTTTGGGGGAAACAGACGCTTTCCCTTCCAGCCAAAGGACAGGAGAACCTATGACGCTACACAAAATGCTAAACTCATCACAGGGCCTTTTTGGTTAGCTCTCATGAGACGGCGCTTCCCCTGTGCTGGCTTTTGCAGAAAAATGCACAACTGGGGTGGGTGGGGGGGGGTTGCAATGTTATTAACCCAAAGCAGTTCATATAGTGCCCAGTGTGAAGTGATAACATTGTTTCTGACGCCTTGTCCTATGTTGGTTAACTACAGCCTCCCTCATCCTCAGCCACCCCCATTTGTACATTCTCCATAACTTAAATTCAGAACCTGGAATCGCTTTGGGTGTGTTTGTGTATATATTTTGAATGATAAGTCCCAGAAACCACTAGTCGTGCTCAGGAGGGAAGTCTAAGAGTTGTCCTCCAAAAACGCGATATATCTAATCTCTCCTTGAATCCAAACAAGTGGATTCTCTCTGTTCCGCCATCTCCGTAGGTGAGCCCCTGGCGCAGGAACTGCTTACCCCAAACACAAAATCAAAGGGAAGCGTTTGAGAACCCCAAATTACCCGAAATGGCGTTCGTTACTGACATCAGAGGTGAGTGAAGAGCGGGGGTCACGCCCCAGACCGTGTGGTAGCCCACGATGCCTGCGAGGCCAAACGTGGTCACCATCTGGGTAAAAGCTGCGTTTGGAGAAGCAAGACCCAATCCCAGGACGGTTGTCAAGCCTACAGAGAAAATCAAAAGACCAGAAACAGAATCACAGGAGAATCGAGCAGAGTTTCTTCTTTCCAAGAAGTCCAGCCTAAAAGCCTACTGCTGTTTCCACAAATGTTTTGAATGAGAGCAAAAAACAAAAAACTCAAAAACCAATCAGACACCCCCCCCCAATGGGATGCTCTGGGCATAACTTTCATTCCCGGAGGGGGTGGTGGTTTTGTGAGAAATAGAGACTTGCCCAAGACAGGACCCACTGCACCGGGCCGTCTGCTCCAATACACTTTGGCATCCAGACTTGGAAATGCAATCAAATAAAATCTTGAAGATGTTACATATTTTCTTTGGGCAAATCATGGAAAGACAGAACAATAAGAACAACAATGGGGGGGGGACAGCACTGGTCTGTCACCCTTTAACTTCTTTACTTGCTTGGCCTGAAAAGTTTATGTTGTGGCACCTAAACCAGGCAGGGCGAAAAGCCGACTACACTCCGTGTCTCACTCTCACACTGGAGAGGAGTAATGATGTGCAGAATACTATATAGGTGGTTTCATCAGGTAGAGACATCTTACATTGACAAGACTGGGGAATCTGGCAAGAATTCTTTCCATTCCTAAACTGTGAGTTTAAAAAAAAAAAAGGCAACCCAGGATTTTAGCATGATTGTTTAAATCACCAGTCCCTGTTTTAAATGGCTAGAACTAGCTTTTTAGAGGCACCATATTGGCAGGTAGCCAACAGCGTTGCTTGGTTGCATTTACCTGATTTTTCAGGTAACTGTTTAGATCTAAAAACATAGAGAAAGAATTCCTGTTAACGTTTTTCTCTAATAAATTGCATTGCACTCTACATTTCTCTACGATTCCTTGGTTTTCCCCAATGCATTCTTCTTCCGGCGTTCCAAGAAAGCAGCATACACACGTCCAAACCGAGATCACAAAATTTTGGAGTACCTGCGGTATAAACTCCAGCAGAAGTCATTGTCCTTCTGAACGGGGAAATCGCCGCTTGTTTCTCTGCTTCTAGTTCCTGGACTGTTTTCTGTTTCGACGGAGCAGAAGGGGGCAGCGTTTTTGGTAAAGGTGCCGGAAACAATTTTTTTCCTTCCTAGAACCGTCAAAGAGTTCTCGTTAGGACAAATTCTTAAGATAACACAGGGAAACCCATGTCCCTTGCCACAAAGACACCCTCATGTATAGAGAAAGGTAAACAGATCGCCTCTGGTACTAGTAGAAGCTGGTACTTGACCAGAAGCCTCCCCCTGCTTTTCTCAACTATTTATGGTGGCATCATACAGAAATGTCTTCCATGGCGTCTTTGGTCTTTGGTTCACGTCTGAATTCTCCTTCTAACCTGGAGCTTGGAGTGCAGATAACCAGCCTCTGGCTGGAGGATAATTGGATTTGTAGTCCAAAAGCATCATTTTCAAGCTACAGTTTAACCCTCTGGCTAACCAGAATGTTCCCATTTGCAGTAGACCTCGAGAGCGCTGCTAAGCTATCTCCACAGGGAGGGCCTAGAAGCATTAAAAAAAAGCCATGCTCAGCCCTCAGAGGAGGACAGCTTGGGGAGATCTGGTAGGTTGGGCAGATGACATTGAGGAGAGACACTCCAACAAACTAAATAAAATTAAATTCAAATACCATATCATATCAACAAACAAAACGGATGTCCACCTTGGGGGTTATTCGGTTGGAACGAAAATACACATTTTCATGCTGGTTGCAAACCAAGAAGGAAGCCTCAGGTGAACAATCAGCCTACGGATGCTCCCCAAAGGTCTTCAGCCTGCATGCGTTATTTGGCCTGCCTCGGTGACTCTGTGCATGAAATCGTGCTCAGAGGGCAGGGAACCTCACCTTCAAGACCGTAGTTCCTCGAATGACGTGATCGATCGTCCCGTAATCAAACTCCTCCTTTGGCTCGAAGTGGAAATACTCTTTGCTCGGAGAAATGGCTTTTAATAACTTCAAGATGTTGTTGGAATAAAGGCTACTGGCCTGGGTAGCCATTCGGCTTGGCAGGTCCGTGTAACCGATGTGCACCACGCCCTGGGGGGTGGAAGGAATGAAATAAACAGACTTTAAAAAAAAAACACTCTTGTGTATCCTTTTCATTTTCTTTCCCTTTTAAAGAACACAGCTGTGTGGTCCATGTGCAACATCCCAAACCAGAGACAGACCACACCTTTGCTGGTCAACTCCGGCACCGAGAAGAAAACCACGACACGTTCAACCCTTTTTGAAGCCCTGCAGGATGCTCCATCAGATCAGACTTCAGTTGGGGTCAGGAGCAGAGCTTAGGAGAATCCCAGAACAAGCTCGGCTTTTCTTGCTTAATACCTCTGGTGCAGGATTTGCAAACAGTGGGGCTGGTAGTAACTTTTTATATTAGCAGCAAAATCAAATAAAAGGTAAAGCCAATTTCCCTGGCTGCGCTGGCCTCTGCAAAACGTCTGAGCCTAATATTTAAGGGCTGCTGTGAAGATGTTTATATTAGAAAATGTGCAGTGGCCACACTTGCAAAAAAAAAAAAGAAAGAAAACAGGGGCCATAAAACATTAAAAATGGAGAACGTATTGGGATTATATTGCTATTTCTGGCTGCATGACTGGTGAGGAAGGAAGAAAGGGCTCTGCTTTATTTCCTTGCCACTCTTTATTACAATACGTTATTGCTCTTATTACTTCAGGAATGGGAAATGGACCAGCGTGGGGCTTGGTTAGGGGAACGATCCTTTGCCTGAGTTGCAAAGAATCAACGTCCTCCTTTCCCAGGGTCCTGCTCAACACGTCACAAGGCACTGGCAGAACTGCCTCTCCCAAGTTAGGTTCAAGGTGGCATCTGATTCTAGTTTAGTTGTGCCCACCGTGGCAGATGTGATCATGGAACCGGAGACCCCCAGAGCTTGTCCCCTCTTGCTTTTGCAGTTCTATTCAGTTTATGTTTGCAGAAAGACCGAAAGAAGACAGAAAAGCAGATAGAACAGCCTCAATGAGCCATACGTAGAGACAGCAAGCCCTGTACTAACCTTGTGCACATGAAGTTCTCCAGGCTGGGTGGTTTCCACGTTGCCTCCAGCCTCAGCAGCCAAGTCGACAATGACGGAGCCGTCCTTCATGGTTTCCACCATATTCTTAGTGATGAGGATTGGAGCTTTTTTCCCTGTTGCCATTTGTACAAACACACCATAAATACAGGGATTCCTCTCCTCTGTTTTGTGCAACTTTTCCTAAGAGTCTGAACAGTGAATCTAGTCCAAGACTTTTTGCTGCCCGAGCTGGAACTCACAAAGGGTACCCCTTCCCCACCACCCATCAAGAGGCCTATCACCCCAAATTGATACAACAGGATCTCTCAAGCACACATCCCTGTTCATAGCAGAGAAAACAGAAAATAGAAAATAGTCAGTGAAATATAATTAGCCATTTGCTGCCCTCTCAGCCCTGGCCACCTAAAGCAGTCATCTCCTTCTGCCTAATGTGAGTCCAGTCCAGAGATGTTACAAAGCCATTTCAGGTTTTACTCTGCACTTCACAGGAGCTGTCCATGGTACTTAAACAGGTTCTGATAATTGCAGTAAATTTTAAACTAAAACCTACACTGGATTCATAGCATCCCTGAAACTGGATTTTTTGTGCCACTTTTGTGCCCATATATGTTTTGCAAATCTCATTCCATGGGTTTTCTAGAAGCCCTCCCTGCCAAAACCATCTAGAATAGCTATAGTGTTGCACAGTACCTGGTATGAGTGCCGTGGTAATAATAATATCCACCTCTTTACACTGTTTGACAAAGAGGGCCATTTCTGCCTCAATGAATTCCTTGGACATTTCTTTTGCGTAACCGCCAACTCCTTCTCCCGTTTCAGCCATGTCAACTTCTAAGGGTTCGGCTCCAAAGGATTTAAACTGCTCCAAAGCTGCTGGCCTAAAGCAAAGTTGAGAGAATGTCACAGACATTGCTGGACCAGATATTGGTTGGGGTGCAGGTTTATCTCCTACAGGAAAGTCCACTGCCTTTACTGCAAACAATGTTGATTTCAATGTTTTCATATTTAATAACTTTTGAATGCTTCTGGCACCTTGTTTTCCTTCCTGTTTCTCTTAATCATTTGTGAGCTGCCTTCATTCCCATCACTGGGAGAAAAGGGAAGTAAAAAGGCAATCCATCCATCCATCCATCCATCCATCCATCCATCCATCCATCCATCCATCCATCCATCCATCCATCCATCCATCCATCCATCCATCCATCCATCCATCCATCCATCCATCCTCCATCCATCCATCCATCCATCCATCCATCCATCCATCCATCCATCCATCCATCCATCCACATCCATCCATCCATCCATCCATCAGATCAGCGACAGCCAGTTATTAGCTTTGAGTGGAATATATTGCCAAGTGAATAGCATCTACTTCCCTGAGAGTTTACAGATTTCAAGGGGCCGTGTTCTTGTACAGGGGGTTCCCTGTGATGTCACAGAGGCAGGGCAGGTATGAGCTGGGAGGAAAAGGCAGCGCGATATACAACTTCCTGTTGAGCCAATGATCTCTGATGTCACTAAGAATGGGTACAGAAGGATACCCACGCTTTACAGCCCAATCTTATGCAAACAAAACGGAAATGAGTATCTCCTCCAGAGATCTGTCTCATCCTCTGGAGAAATTCATAAGGACAGCGGTTTCCAGAAATGTTGGTTGTGCCCGAAGACCTGTTGTTGGCACACACGGTTAAGGACCGCTTACTATACCTGGTATCGAACCCCCTCACAATGGCCCCCATGGATTTGGCTGCTCCAGCTGCAGCCAACCCAGCGACTCCACCGCCGATGACCAGCATCTAAAACGGAAGACAGCACAGCTTCAGTTCCGGACCCGTGTAGACTTTGGTTTGTCCTTTCTGTTCCCTCAGAAGCAGGAAATGGATAATGGCCTCAATGAAATTAGAAGAAAAGGGAGGGAGAGGCAAGGGAATGGACGGAACATCTTGCAATGACTGTATTGAAACTACGGCCCGCCTGTCTCAAGACAGCGGAGAGGTTAAAAACGACGACACTTCCATTTCCTTTCAAAATATCTTGGAAAAAAGGAATGTTTCCTAGGGGTAGCCACCCAATGTCCCTCTTTCTTTCCTTACTGGTAGGGAGTCGGTCCCATGACTGAGGAGTATTGGGTTCAGTTCTGGGCACTGCAGCACCAAAAAAGGGGACACTGCAGAGCTAGAAATGGTGCAGAAAAGGGCGATCCAGATGATCTAGGAGTTGGAGGTGACGCTCGTATCAAGAACTAGAAAACAACATTGGGGCTTTTTCTTTTCTTTTCATTTCGGTTAGAAAACCAGTGAGCAAAGGAGGAGAATGTGCAGATAAAGGGCAATGCACAGGTGAGGGAATGTTGGTGGTAGTTTCTAAAAAAAAAAAAGTCAATATTTTAGAGCTCTTTTGTAGGACTGGGTCAATTTTGGCAGCTTGATTTTGCTCAGGGTGCCCTCTTCCGTGGTTCCGATCATTCTGTCCTCGGTCCAGTTCAGGCAGCAATGATAGGAGCCTTGCGGCACAGTGGTTGAACCGCAGTCCTGCAGTCAAGACTTTGCTCACGATGTGAGTTCGATCCCAACCAGTTCCAGTAAGCAGCTCGAGGTTGACTCAGCCTTCCATCCTTCTGGGATGGGTGCATGGAGTGCCCTCCTCATTGGGGGTACAGGGAGGGCACCTGCATCATTCAATTGTAAACCACCCAGAGAGAGCTTTAAGCACTGGGTGTGTGTGTGTAGAAGCAGCACCCTTTGGCTTTGCTTTGTTTTGATCTGGTCCAAATGAAGATTTGTATGTGTTCACATGAGTGTTTTTTTCAAAATACAAGCATTTTAAAAATGCATTCCTTTCTAGTGCCTCCTTTGTGAGGCAAGCAGCCGCACAGACTTCAGAACGGGACGGCTATGGAGGTCCTAGTGGCCTCCTGGTTTGTGTTCCCATTTGGGAAATGGGAATCATGTGAACTGGAACACATTTCACACCCATCCCTAATAAAATTATTCACCACCACCACCAGTCTCATAAAATTAGAAGCCCGGACCACAGCAAAGGAGTCAGAGAAAACAACAGGAAGCATTTCTTTGCGGTTTAAAAAAAAAACAAAAATGCAGAATTTGCTACCACGGGATGTAGGGAGGCCCTTAAAAGGAGACCAGTCAAATCAATTTGGGGGAAGAGGACTATTCTTCTGCCAGCCACCCAGCATGGTGTAGTGGACAGATGGTCAGACTCAAAGACCTGGGTTCAAATCCAGGGAAACGAACCAGGGGGTTGGAATGGCAAAAATCACGCCTTAAATATATCATATATCTTGGAAACCCTGTTAGGGTCGCCCTAAGGCCTGATGCCACTTAACGGCAATTCGAGTTCCCGTTCCTGACCTTTGGCCTCTCCTTGGGGGTGACACAGGAGGGCGTTGTGGCATTCAGGGGCAGCCTATGGGCTTCCCACTAGGGCAACTGGTTAATAACTGAAGGATGGCCAAGACTGGCCTTAAAGGGTCTGAATCCCTCTCAGTTCATGGTGTGTTTTTATGATGCTACGTGCATAGCAGAAAAAAGGCTGGCTTCCTTCTGTTTGTCGCCCGCTTATGCCATTTGTTTTGTTTTCAATTTTAAAATAGACAAGCGCAGTCCTGCTTCAGAACATAACATAAGAACCAAAGAACTGGATCCGGCCAAGGGCCCCTCGGGTCCAGCTCCCTGTATCCCACCGTTGGCCCCACCAGATGCCCCAGGGAGCCCCCGAGACCACGAGTCGAGATCCCTGACTCCTGATCCCCCTCCTTCCCCTGCCTCTGGCCTTTGGAGGTCCCTTCCTTCGAAGCCTGGAGATGATGCTACATCCCTATCAGGGCTCATCACCTGCGATGGGACTTTTCCTCCAGAAATTTCTTCCCATCCACTTCAAAAGGTATCTGGGCGCTTTCCCCCCCCTCTACCACCACAGCTTTTCCTACAGACATTTCTTCCTCTCGGGAGACCTACCTTGGCCGGAGGAACCTTCCCGGCTGCTGTAATTTGCCCCGTAAAAAACCTTCCAAAATGGTTGGCTGCCAGGACGACCGCCTTATATCTAGAAAAAGGGAAAAGGAAGGAAGGAAGGAAGGAAACCAAATGCATTTCTTGGCTCACCAGTGGGCACGGTTGCGCGCACGGGTGTGTGTGTGGGGGGGAATGACAAAAAGATGTAACAAACACACCAAAAGCAATCAAGGGAGAATTAATGAGCAACCCCGGCCAACAAGCGACTGCTCTAGAGAAGCTCCAGCAAATAAATTGTCTAAATGGAAAAAATACATTCAGCTGTCATAACAATTTATCTCAACGCCTGTGACCCTCTTTCAAGTGCTGAATCGAAGGGTATTTGGGGAGGAGGCCGTGTAGATGGGGCAGGGCGTAAGGGGAAGGGTGAAGTGGGGACACCGGCTTGTGATTGGAGTGAGGGGTACCTCCCAATTTTGGGGGGGGGGCAGGAGTGCTTCACATCCCATTCCAGGACCGGCCCACACAGCATAAAGTTTTTATTCTTGTCCATTTCCCTTTGGCTGGGAAGGTGCGGGGGGGGGGATGGCGTCTTTGAAGGTAACGATTTTCCTTCCCTAAAACAATCACCCATATTTCCATTGCTCAAAGCCCAAATTGTCCTCCTGCTTCTCCAGGCCAACAGAACATCAGCACCAGATGAAGAAGGGTGGGAAGAGGAATACACCCAGAAACGGCCATGAGATCTACACCAGAACTTGGGAACAAGGCATTTTAGGGCCACCCCCTCTCTTCGCCGACAGCGGCTGGGGAATTCTGAGCATCGTCGGAGCCCTTCAAAGCAAGATCTCAAACTCCTGTCTGCACTATCCAGTGAGAGCAGTTTGAAACCACTTTGACTGTCTCGGCTCTGTCCTAGGTGAGCTGAGGCTTCTGGCTGTGGGAATGTGGCCTGTCTAGGGTACAAAGGTTGCAGAAAGCTGGGTAGCTTAGCAGTTTCAATCTCTGACGGTGGAACTAGAGGTTGGGAGTTCGATTCCCCACTGGGCCTCCTAGGAAAAAAACCCAGCCTGGGTGGCCTTGGGCAAGCTGCACAGGAGACCCAGGGCAACCCCGGAAGAAGGGGAAAAGGGTCAAGTACCTCTCAGTATTCTCTACCTGGAAAACACCAAAATGGGTTGCCATAGGTCAGAACTGACTTGAGGGCACATCATTGTTATTAAGAGGGAAATAACAGCCCCTTCCTCATGTCGAAAATCGCAATTAGTTTCCAGAAGACTCTTGTATAAAGTAAAATTTGATATTGAAGGACATCCAGGAGCTGTTTCTCCAGGAGAAAGCCCATGGAAGCAAGTCCAGAACATGCTGATGACACCTAATCCAACTTCTAAATATGCTGGAAACCAACAGGTAGGGCAGAACGATACAAACTCCGGTTACAGGGGTTGGTGGAATTTATTAAAAGGGGGGGGGGAAAGAGGCTGTGGAAGAACAGTGAGCTTTTCCACCGTTCACTGATCCAAATTGTTCCTGGATCTGATTTTACTTCAGAGCATAGAGAAGTTCCTTTCTTGGGTGGCAACGTTTGGAATTATGATCTAAGTAAATATCTTTTCTAAATACCCACAGACGTTTCTGAACCGCCTCTTACTGGCCCGATCCGAATCATGTGTGCTCAGAAGCAAAGCCTCACTGGTCTTAACTCGAGAAGTATGTCTCCAGTTGAGAACATTTCAGTGCATGGATTGTGCCGTAAGCCAAAACCTTTGGGGCAGGCCTTGCCTTTCAGGGATAAACACATTTTGAACCAATTCACATTTGGAAATTATTTCAAAGCTGTTTAAGATGAGTTTCTTCTTTTCCTTCTAAAACCCAACCAACTGGTTTAAGGACAACACCGATTATATACACAAGCTGCATCTTGAAATGGTTTAGAATTTCTGTCATTCCATCCCAACCAGAATCAAGCTGGTCAAGGCACTGAAGCAGGCTTGGCCTTTTCTAGGTCGAAACAGCGCCTTCATCTCCTTTCACAAGAACTGCTGATCAGGAGGAGGTGAGGTCAATGTTTGCCCAGAAAGGCAGATGCTCCAACCCAAAAGAGAACAGTGCAGACCTGGATGCACCAGGATCCATGCCCAACCTGCGTGGCCCGAGTGCCATCCTTGGAAAAAAACAAAACAAAGCTTCCCTTTGATATCCTAGGAACGAAATAATGACAAATCTGCTTCTGAGCTGCCGCATGGTCTTTAGAGCTGCTATTATTA